CAAAAGCAGTACACAGGGTTTTATAAATAAAGAGGTCCCAAAAGTGATCTTGGGTTCAGGGGCATATTATTTTTCCACAGTAATTGTCAAAGAACTTGGGATATGTATATTTGTGTTAAAGTGAAGCTAATGTAATTTATTGTTAAAAGTGACGCTAATGTAATTTATTGTTAAAGTGACGATAATGTAATTTATTGTTAAAAGTGACGCTAATGTAATTTATTGTTAAAGTGACGATAATGTAATTTATTGTTAAAGTGAAGCTAATGTAATTTATTGTTAAAGTGAAGCTAATGTAAATTATTGTTAAAAGTGACGCTAATGTAATTTATTGTTAAAGTGACGATAATGTAATTTATTGTTAAAGTGAAGCTAATGTAAATTATTGTTAAAAGTGACGCTAATGTAATTTATTGTTAAAGTGACGATAATGTAATTTATTGTTAAAGTGACGCTAATGTAATTTATTGTTAAAGTGACGATAATGTAATTTATTGTTAAAGTGAAGCTAATGTAATTTATTGTTAAAGTGAAGCTAATGTAAATTATTGTTAAAAGTGACGCTAATGTAATTTATTGTTAAAGTGACGATAATGTAATTTATTGTTAAAGTGACGATAATGTAATTTATTGTTAAAGTGAAGCTAATGTAATTTATTGTTAAAGTGGCATAGGCTCATTATGTCAACATAAAGCCTTAACAATGTTAATTTTAGACACCTACCAATAAGCAGCATGGTATATATTTGACCTAAGTCATCATATGCTAAGTTTGAGTGTGTATTGGGTCCCTTAAAAGCTGTTCTGATTGACTAGGCCAATCTTGAAATGTTAAAATCGCTTAAAAACGTTTTTAGGGTTTCCCTATTCACAGGCCTAAAACAGGTAGTGCAACCCAAAATTTTCAGTGTTAACATTCAGATTCATATTCTACACATCCAGACCTTTCAAAAAAGTATGGTTTTGTTGGGAGGTGGGGGGGTGCACGGTAGGCCTATGTAGCTCGCCGCCTATTTTGTCATTATATATCAGAGGGCTTTTACACTGGGCTGGTTTGCTGCGGTCCGAGTGCGTTTGTTCCCGGCGCCCCCTGCAGCTTTGATCTGGTTTCACACCCAACTTGATTATATCGAACCCTGGTGCGTTTGCATGGCTCTTACGTCATCGCAAACGTGCACGGTGCTCGATAGAAAGCAGAACGTGGGTCAATGTTGTGTTTTTTATTAATTTGCTGCTATTATGCGCAGTTGAGGGAACAATACAGGTTTACTGTGTGTGTCACATAAGGGGGACTTCTGCTCTTGCAAACGGACTCTTAACGAGACAGTGGATTTCCAAATGTGTTGCTCTGATTCGCACAATGCTTGAATACACTGCGGACACACTCTTGCTCGTGTCTGAGGTAAATCATCAACACTATCATCCCTAACAAGTGTTTTATTTTAACTGAATACATCACAATAAGCTAAAACGCATGCGCAGGATACTTTCCCAGACAGCAAACTGACATTGAATCAACGTGGAAATATGACATCGAAACAACGTTGATCTGACATTGTTTTGCTCATCGAATTAACGTTGAACCGTCAGACGCGTCATTCTTTCAAAACTAACGGAAAATCAACTTGAAATCAACGTTGTTTCAACGTTATGAAAGCAAACCAATTTTCATACCCAGACAGCAAACTGACATTGAATCAACGTGGAAACGACGTCTCTCATGACATTGAAACAACGTTGATTTTGCTCATCGAATTAACGTTGAACCAACGTCAGACGCGGCATTCTTCAAAGCTAAATGAAAATCGAAAATTGGTTTGCTTTCATAATGTTGAAACAACGCGTTGATTTCAAGTTGATTTTCCGTTAGTTTTGAAAGAATGACGCGTCTGACGTTGGTTCAACGTTAATTCGATGAGCAAAACTATGTCAGATCAACGTTGTTTCGATGTCATATTTCCACGTTGATTCAATGTCAGTCTGCTATCTGGGTTACTTCCTGAACAAGTGCGCGCCCGAGTCCCATCACAGCGTTCACATTAGCGGTTTTTCATGCGAACCGTGCCCCATTCTGGACTAAACTGCCAGTGTGAAAGCCCCCTTGGGTGCCTGATAATGGACCCGTCTGTGTTAGAATCACCATTTCTAGCTTTGGCCCATGCCACATTTCGCTGATGGATATTGTCTGACAACTCAGGAGAAAACCAAGGGTTTTCCAGTCTCTTCACTCTGTGCTTTGTCCAAGGAGCATGTTTTATTTTCTCAAAATTTTCCTTCAAAAGTGTCCAGGCAAGTTTTACACCAGGCAACAGGCCTAGCTGTCCCCAGTTAATCAAAGATAAATCATGATGTTAGGCTTGTTAAGTCAAATTTTCAAATTCCTCTTTCTAATAATTTGCAATTCACATTTGGATATTTTACCGCTTCTCAAAGTAGCAATAACAGAATGATCACTCAGATCTAGGGATGGGGCCGATCCGATCCAGTATCGGTATCGGGACCGATACCAGCGTAATTCACGTATCGGATTTTTCCGATCCAACCTGCGGAGAAATCCGATATTTATGAGCCATGTCTGCGCTTTAACGTTGTCAGCTGAAATGACTCCAAAAGGGATTCCCCGGGCCTGCTAGTCTGCTATAGCTGGCTGCAAACTGTGGAATGGATATTCTGAATAGAGGCACGGCTTAATCATAGACTGTAAAAATAGGGCTCAATGAGACAGACAATCCATTCCGCAGTTTGCAGCCAGCTAGCAGGATAGCATTGAGCTACCAACATGTTCGCTGTGTGGAAATACTTCACTGGAAACACCGCAGCAGAGCAAGACAAAATGCAATGTTTGCAAAGCCGTATTAATTAAACTATTTGATGCATGTTTGCAATTCGCAGTCTGGTGAAAAATCCAGCTAAAACCAGCCAAGGCTGGTTGGCTGGTTTTGGCTGGTCTCCCAGCCTGGTTAGTTGGTTTATCAGGCTGGTTTTAGAGGGGTTTTGAACACTTTTTCAGCTGGTCAGGCTGGTCTTAGCTGGTCAAGTTGGTAGCCAGGCTGGGTGACCAACAAAAACCAGCTACTTCCAGCTTAAACCAGCTAAGACCAGCCAACCAGCCTAGGCTGGTTTTAGCTGGATTTTTCAGCAGGGAAAACAAAAAGAGAGATCTCTCACGCGGCACAACACGACAGCCCTGCTTAATGAGTGAGGACAGAGGAAACGTAGCCTGGTTACACTTTAGATCTGTGATATTAGTCTGATTACCAAAGATTAAAGAATATATTGAGGTAAAAAAACATTAAAAACAATAGCCGCATTCTGTCTAGACAACTTCCTTCCCATCGCGGCGGTGCGCTGTCATTTCTCCCTAAAACTCAATCTGTAAGACAGAATCAGCACGATCTGTGATTGTTGTAAAATGCAGTCTCTGCTGTTGCTAAATTGCGGGACGCTTTTAATAATAAAAAGAGCTTTTAAACGCACAAAATTTGCGCAAGAGGGCGATGCGCGCTCCGAAACAGACAAGCAAATTATACTTTGGGCTTCATATGCGCGTCTAAACGATCAAATGTAGCCTGCACAAAAATGTCAACCCGACCGGCTTGGAGATTAACACTTAAACCGTTTATGTCTAAAATGAACGTAGTTATGGAAATAGTTGGGAGAAAATATGGTGCATCAGTAGATATGAAATCCGCACTAGTTTTACTAGTTTTTTTTTTCTAGTTTCAAACTAGGTTTGATGTATATGCCAAAAAAGTAAAATTCTTATCAGGTAAGGGGGAACCCCTCTTTCTTGCAGTTTTATAAATAATTTGGAATGGTTGATTCGATCAAATGCATATAATCGTATATAGCGTTTAATGTTTTTAAATACACTGCTCAGGTTCAGAGCGGGTTGAAGGTCCATCAGGATCTGATATGGAGTGTTTGAACAGTAAACTCATGTGATTTAAAGATGAAGCTTCTCCTGGTGTAAAGAGAGTTCAGTTCTGCTCTGATCTTCATCTGTGTGAGAGAGGTTTGCCTTTATTCAGGCCTGCAGTTATTCAGAGGCCAGATGCATGATGGGATTGAACGGACTGGTCTTCATACTCATTGGTTCAGTTCAAGGACAGGTCCGGCTCTTTAACTAACCTGTTCGTGATTATTACCTGCTTCATTCAACTCTTCAACTAAACTTTATAGAGACCAAACAAACATATCTGCTGTGTATTAATCAAATATTCATAATAAATAATAAAACAGTAATGTGATGTCAAAGGAAGGGAGAGGTATTGACTGTGGCCAAAGCCAAACATGTGATGCTGTATCTCTGAAAAGTGTGTCTAGTTTAAAGGGACAAACACAATTTCAGAAAGAGGAAATAAAGACAGAATTATAATTTTCTGACTGAACTATCTCTGTAAGATAGCCTTACATTTAGTTATACAGTTTTTACCTGTGGGCTCTCAGAAATATACATATATATATATATATATAAATATATTTATATATATATACATGTATATAAATATATATATTATATATATAATATATGAAGAGTTCAGATGCAAAAGCCTCTAAGTGCCATTTGAAATTTTCTTCTAGAATGATCATTTTTATCAAGCTTGTGTATTTAAGTTCAGTGATTTCACTTAAATGGCAATGATAATTACCTATTAATTGTTATTTAAGTGAAATTACTGAACTTAAATATACAAGTTTGATAAAAATCATCATTAAAGAACAAAATTTCAAATGGCATTTAGAGGCTTTTGCATCTGAACTCTTCATATATATTCATATATATATGAATACACTACAATCAAAAGTTTTGGATCGGTAAGATTTTTAATGTTTTTCAAAAAAGTATCTTCTGCTCACCAAGGCTGTGTTTATTTGGTTAAACACACACACACGCACAGTCGCACACACACAGAAGATAACGCTCCTTTGGAAGCGATGAGAGGCGTGCGTCATGACGTCACACAGACGCGCTGACGGCGGCTCCCAGCGTGCAGTGCGCGAGCGAAGATGGCGGAAGGCGGCGCGGCGGATGTGGAGACGCAGAGAGCAGAGATCGCGACGCTCCTGAAGACGCCGCTGCGCAGAGCAGACACCTGGTGAGACGCGCCGCACAACACGCGCTGATGAGTCGCGCCAGACAGCGTCAACGCGTCACACACTCGCACTCATACAGCAGCGACAACAACACGAGCTGTCAACACAGATCACGCGAACCAGCAGATACACACGAGATGATCGAGTCAGCGCTCTGTGTGTGCGTGTGTGCAGGCGCGCTGATGACGTCACTTCCGCTGTCTCCCACAGGTACCTGGTGGACAGTCACTGGTTCAAGCAGTGGAAGAAGTATGTGGGCTTCGACAGCTGGGACAAGTACCAGATGGGCGAGCAGAGCGTGTATCCGGGACCGGTGGACAACCGCGGGCTGCTCAAAGGTGTGGGTCACAGGGGTCAGAGGTCAAAGGGTCAGGGGTCTAACAGTTCACAAAACTCACGGTTCAGTTCAATACAACAGCTTCGGTAATAAAACTAGCATCATAAAGTATGATCTTCATTTCGCTGTGAACAATGACGGCGCTTTATCTTCTGAGCATAATAACACTTAACAGCTCCTTATAATATGAAATATGACATGTAATATAGTAGTAGTTATTAACAGGTTTATTACAGGTTTATTACAGGTTAATTTAATAATAAAATATTGCGGCGGCGCAGTGAACCTGTGGATGTGTGCGTCAGTGTCGGAAAAGAGTTTTCGTTAATGTAAGTGTGTTGTTTTCTTCCCAAATGTGCTTATACATTTTCCTTAAAGGGATAGTTCACTTTGAAATACATTTTTGATATATAATGGAGGTCTATGGTCACCACCTCAAAGAGCAGCACAGAGAAGTCCAAATTAAACATGATTTAATGACTCGTAAATGTAAGTACACATTGATGGTCTAAGACACGAAACGAGCGGTTTGTGTGAGAAAACCAACAGTATTTATATTGTTTTTTCCTCGTGTAATCACAGCCACGTCTATAAGTGGTAAAAACAATTGTTGAGGTAAGCTAAGGCTTACCAAAAATTAATTTCAAAGTGAACTATTCTTCAATATTGTGCATGAAAAAGGCCTCGTTTACTTGGTCTAATGTTAAATGAATGGCTGGTTTCTTTTTCAAATAAAACTTTACTTTAATATAATTTTCCAAAACACATTCAACAGTTTGTTACTTTTATACACATACTTTAAAGCTAACAAATAAGTGAACACATTTTATGCATTAAAATATTACATTTATTGTGTGAACTCTTCAACATTTTCGTTTTAAAACAATCAATCATGTTATTGCGTCAACTGTTCAACATTAAGTTGGAGTTTTTATTTCTTAAACACATTCGATGCATTCATCGTGCGACATCTATTCTGACTTCATTTAAGATTCCTATGACCAAACGTTTCTGCAACACTTTCGCATGAAATATAGTTGTGATATTGTCGATCAAAACTCTTCTGAAACGGCGCACGATAACGAGGACCATGCTGAATCGATCATTAGCGATTAAAGGGATTAGGCTTGCCGCGATAGACGGTGTTGACGGTGTTACCGGTTTTAAGCCCCATCACCGGTGACATCACTTTCCCACCGTGACACCGCGATGTCTTGACTTTTTTTTTTTAAAGTATTCGTTTTTGCTAAAATATTTATTTGAATTAATTAAAAATAATAATTTTCAATTATTTAGTTCTGAAGAGAGCATTATAATTAAAAATGAACTGCGCAGCGCGTGCCGTCACGTCACAGATCAGCAAGCATCAGGATTCCATTTAGCACGTGTGGAGACGAGAACGAGTCAAATTACAGAAAAGCAAGATAATGGCGGAAGATTTGGTGTCAAAACGCAATGCAAAAGCGCCTGTTTGGCAATATTTTGGCCAATATATATTAATGTTAATAAATGCCAATTTATAGTGTTTTACTTTTTTTTAGAGTGCTGTCATTTATGTAGGCTAAGGTCCTTTTTAAAGTTTTTATTTTATATTCGTCTCTTTTTATTTGGTTTTATCTTATTTAAACTTTGTTTAATTTATTTAGGCCTATTTTGTTTTCTTATTCTTTAATAAACGTTTTATTTTTTTTTGGGCCCACAGTTTGCCGATTTTCACTTTTTTCAGCCTATGCATGGGGTTATTTTTATTCGTTCGTTATGCTAATAAAAGTTCTGTCTATATTTTATTCGTTTACTATTATTCTAATAAAAGTGCTGTCTAAATAAAAGTTTATTGTCAGTGAGTTGTTTTTTTTTTTTCTTTGTCCATTCCAGCAATTGACGCTGAATTGCAATTGACGCTTATTTCGAAAGTGAAAGTATGTCATTTATGTAGGCTAAGGTCCGTTTTGAAGTTTTTATTTTATATTCGTCTCTTTTTAATTGGTTTTATCTCATTTAAACTTTGTGTAATTTATTTAGGCCTATTTTATTTTCTTATTCGTTAATAAACGTTTTATAGTTCTTATTTGTTTGGGCCCACATTTTGCCGATTTTCACTTTTTTCAGCCTATGCATGGGGTTATTTTTATTCGTTCGTTATGCTAATAAAAGTCTATAAATAAAAGTTTTATTATCAGCGAGTTGTTTTCTTTGTCCATTCCAGCAATTGACGCTGAATTGCAATTGACGCTTATTTCGAAAGTGAAAGTATGTCATTTATGTAGGCTAAGGTCCGTTTTGAAGTTTTTATTTTATATTCGTCTCTTTTTAATTGGTTTTATCTCATTTAAACTTTGTGTAATTTATTTAGGCCTATTTTATTTTCTTATTCGTTAATAAACGTTTTATGGTTCTTATTTGTTTGGGCCCACATTTTGCCGATTTTCACTTTTTTCAGCCTATGCATGGGGTTATTTTTATTCGTTCGTTATGCTAATAAAAGTCTATAAATAAAAGTTTTATTATCAGCGAGTTGTTTTTTTTGTCCATTCAAGCAATTGACGCTTATTTCGAAAGTGAAAGTATAACGCGCACGCATTTAAAAGCTATTTAACCCCCCCGCCCTGCCCTCCACGGTGACACCGGGATTACCGGTGTTGTCACACGTCGATTAACCGGTGGGAAATTTTCCTCACCGCGGCAACCCTAAAAGGGATTAGCCACAATTAATCATCCCTAATTTGAGGTCAGCAGTTTTATTCATAATGTCAAAATAAGATGATTTAAAAAGTGTCAGGTTACAGTGGTAACCAGTGTTTCCCACAGAATCACAGTCTATTCGTGGTGGTGTGGTGTTTTGGTACCGGTTTGGTACCTATATGTATTGTAAGCATGTTATCAATAACCTTCATTGGAATATGAATGTACATAAGCTTGACTGCAGGAATCTGTGACGGCACTGACAAGAAAACTAGTGTACCGAGGGGACCCAGGCCTAGACTAACAAAAACACTGGTATGGGTCTTGTCTATATACTCTAAACATTAGTGCTGTCAAACTGAATGATTCATCAAAAAATAAAAATAACTCATAATCCTGACTGATATCTTCCTGGTATGTTGTACTGTGCTGAATTATACAGCAGGGCTCTCAAGTTTGAAGAAAGGCAGCAGGAGCGAGAGAATCACGTGAGCAATTTCAGGATATAATTATTATTATTATTATTATTTTTTGGTTGTTGCATTAAATCTTACCCGGATACAATAATCCTATTTTCTGATTGGCTATTGTCCTCTTTTTCTGATTGGCTGATGAGTGTCAGGCTCGACTGCAGATCTCCAGGGGAGACGCGCTTGATTCCTGCCGGCTCCATAGTGCAGAGAGCGGCGCGGCCAGAGACATGGGCACTGCGGCATATTAAATATATTATAACACGAGATAAATACAAAAGACCGAAACGAGTGACTGTGACGATCAATGCGTGGCACTTCTTGCAGGTGTGATGCACCGTGTACAAACCGGACTGGTTTATATGTTTATACTTCTCATCCAAACACAATCAAATGCACTCTATCTGGATGGCGCGAGTTATCTGGATAGGTTTTTTTATGATGTCAAGCAGAAATGAAAATAAGCCGAAAGGCTATTTATTTAAATGTCAGGAGTAGAAAGTAGCCTACAGATAATTGTGTGAATAGCCTATGTGAGTAGAAGTAAAAAGTCGGCTGAAAAATAATTACTCCAGTAAAGTATAGAGGGTCAGAGGTCACAGGGGTCTCTTTTGGCTCGTTTCCACTGAGGGGTGCGGTACAGTACGGGTCGGGTCATGGCCGTGGGAAGTAGGGGTGCGACAGCTGTTTCACTACATTGAAATTTAATATGACGTGACTTTAAAAAACTTTTTGTTTTTCTGCATGTTTTTTTAAGAACACCTTCTACCTTTATAAAACGACTCTAACGATTATTTCATTTCCATATGTTGTCGAATATTAATATAGGCTGCCTATCATAAGGCAAAAGTCGATCTCGCATGGAGTGAGTGACTGATTGAGGTCCAGCATCTCTAAATTGATTTGACACTCATTTTATGCATGTGAAAAAACTAAATACAGATGTCTTGATTAAAGCATCCTTTGGCATTAAGGGCTGTTCACAAAGACCGAGTTTTTCCATTACCCTCTGCAGCTGCTACTGTTCCAATGATTTTCACTGTGAACGCACACGCAACTGTTGTGCTCGCATCTCGCGAATGAAACCTCTTTCTCAAAACGCGGCTCTCAAGTTAAAATAAGTTCAACAAAAACGCACCTCGAGACCTTGCATTCCCTCAAATTTGCCTGTATGTGGTGTAATGGTAGTAATGTAATGGTCAAGTGGTACAACATTAGACTAACGTGCAAGAGTTTCTGACTCGCAGTTATTTTTTTCCCCCTCATTAAAACCGATTATGTTTATCAGCTGTTGTCAAGCAGGGACATGACAAAATGTTTGAATGCATTTCACCGGTACGAATAGAGATTTCTCCGCAACTGATCAAGTGTCCGTGTGAAGATGTTCCTTGTGTCAGCGCGAGCCAGTCAACGAGTAGCCTAGTATGATCACTTGATTTAAAAAAACAACACATTTCAGCGTGCTGTTTCTCCTCTTATTTAACAAATGAATGTTCTGCTAGACTAGTTAACCGGATATGTTTTATTTATTTGTATTGGTACATCCGTGCCGCGAGATGTTTAAAAGTGCTGGGGACAATATCGACCCTGGCAAAAAGTTGTGGGGAAATTCGCAAATAATAATTATTAATAATTATAATAATAATAAAAGGTGTTTCTGGTTTTTTTTGTTTTGTTTTTTTGCGTCAAAATATTTCTCAAACGGCAGTGCCCCCCCGCTGATGACCCAATGCCCCTCCAGTAGATCTGCTCTGGCGCCAACTCTGTCAAGCCACGCCCATTAAGCCCCGCCCCCAGCACCCCCATGATAAAATATGTTCCCACGGCCCTGGGTCGGGTCGGGTACACCATGATCAGGCTTGCGTTTCCACCGCCAACAGTACCCTTACTTGATAGGCGTGGTGTGCTGGAAAGAAGCGAGCGACGCCATTTCCGCGCGAAGAAAGCGACATAGTAAACAACAACGGATGACAGACAGCGGATCTTGTTCTTGCTGTCACTAGAAACAAGCGCTGGCATCAGGGGTCAGAGGTCACAGGGGTCTCTAAAGTGCTTCTGCTCTGTCCCGTCTGCAGATGGGGACGCGCTGGGCATCAGGGGTCAGAGGTCACAGGGGTCTCTAAAGTGCTTCTGCTCTGTCCCGTCTGCAGATGGGGACGCGCTGGGCATCAGGGGTCAGAGGTCACAGGGGTCTCTAAAGTGCTTCTGCTCTGTCCCGTCTGCAGATGGGGACGCGCTGGGCATCAGGGGTCAGAGGTCACAGGGGTCTCTAAAGTGCTTCTGCTCTGTCCCGTCCGCAGATGGGGACGCGCTGGGCATCAGGGGTCAGAGGTCACAGGGGTCTCTAAAGTGCTTCTGCTCTGTCCCGTCTGCAGATGGGGACGCGCTGGGCATCAGGGGTCAGAGGTCACAGGGGTCTCTAAAGTGCTTCTGCTCTGTCCCGTCTGCAGATGGGGACGCGCTGGGCATCAGGGGTCAGAGGTCACAGGGGTCTCTAAAGTGCTTCTGCTCTGTCCCGTCTGCAGATGGGGACGCGCTGGGCATCAGGGGTCAGAGGTCACAGGGGTCTCTAAAGTGCTTCTGCTCTGTCCCGTCCGCAGATGGGGACGCGCTGGGCATCAGGGGTCAGAGGTCACAGGGGTCTCTAAAGTGCTTCTGCTCTGTCCCGTCTGCAGATGGGGACGCGCTGGGCATCAGGGAGCACCTGATCGATGAGCTGGACTACATCTTGCTGCCGGCCGACGGATGGAGCCGCCTGGTGAGCTGGTACGACCTGATGGAGGGACAGGAGCCCATCGCACGCAAGGTACACACACACACACACAAGGGGGGTTATTGAATTGAATTGTTTATTGATCCACCAATCAGCTATCTCATATTCATATGAGTGCTGTTCTTCCTGTGGTCAAAAATCACTATTACATATCATTTTTTTACAAATTAACAACAAACTGACCATAAACCATACAACAAACATCCATAAACAAAAACATTTAGTAGAAGATGAACTAAAAAATATTCCTTAATTTACGTTGGTTAAATTTAAATCAACATCATGAACTAAGAGCCCACTTATACTTGGGTCACAATATTTCACTTACATAAAACATTCTTTAACAAAACAGAAAAAATAAATAAAAAATAGGAAATCATATACAAACTTACATACAATTTCAGTTTAATTTTAAAGACCCTCTTACTAGCTTCATTCACCAAAAAACTAGGTAATTGCATGCTAGCATGGCCCTATAGTGTACTGTTCTCTGACCAGCTCCTGTTTTATAACCAGGCAAGATACATTTTCCTGCTGATGACTGACGTGTAACATAATCATGTCCATCCTGGGAAAACTTAAAATTATTAAATAAAATAACAGGAGTCCTTGTTGTTATAACATTTCTTGCAAAACCAAGAAGAGAATAATGTAACCTACTTTTAACTGGTAACCAGTTTAACATATTCAACATATCACAAACTCTGGTTCTATATGAACAATTAAGCACTATACGGGCAGCTTTGTTTTGTGCCACCTGTAATCGATTCAGATTATTTTCTGATGTATTGGACCATATAACTGAGCAATAATCTAACTGAGAGGGAACCAAAGTTTCCATTGATTGTTTAATCAAATGTCTTGGTAAATATATTTTACAATACCTAATTGCAGCCATCGCTCTCCCCATTTTTTTCAACATTTCATCAATCTGATTTGTCCAGGATATACGGCTATCAATCAATACACCAAGTAACTTAACTTCTGTAACCTGTTCTATTTCTATATCATCTAGTTTTAATTGTAATAATGGCTGTACTCTGCCTACCCTCTTAGAACATAATACACTACATTTTGTTTTTTCTATATTAAGTACCAATTTATTTACATTAACCCATCTCCTAATACGCACTAACTCTTCATTTAGAGTCTCTTCAAGCTCTAAACCAGTACATTTTGAACAATTTAATGCTCCCAACTTTGGGAAGAGTTTGGTGATGTTCCTGTTCCAGCATGACTGCGCTCCAGTGCCAAAGCAGGTCCATGAACACATGGATGAGGAGGAACTGGAGTCCTGAGCTCGACCCCATAGACCTGAAGTAACAGCGGAGACTGAGAGCTTCTCGTCCATCATCAGTGCCGGACCTCACGATCAGAATTCCTATAAACACACTCACCAGAAGAGCTGGAGCTGCTATATCTGTAGAGGGTGGACAACTCCATATAAACCCTACGGATACAAACTGGGATTTCATTAAAGTTCAAGTGGATGCAATGGCAGATGCACTCGGTGCAACGCAGCGGCAGGCGTGACACAAGAGTGTTTTGCTAGTTTGAGCCCAACGCAGGTTTCTTTAACACGTCCTACGCCATGTTGTTTAAATAGCAAATGCATTTGAGCAGGGGGGAGGAGTCACCAGTCAATGACGTCATATCCGCGTTACCCCCGGTTTCCGCCAGGGTTGACCTCGTACTGCAATAGTAACCATCAGTGGTGGAATGTAACGAAGTACAAATACTTCGTTACTTTACTTAAGTACATTTTTCACGTATCTTTACTTTACTTAAGTAGAATAAATAGTGCATACTTTTTACTTTTACTTCGTTACATTTTGCAGCAATTATTATACTTTCTACTCCACTACATTTACAACTTCTGTTACATTTTCGTTACATTTTCTGATCAGTTTTTCCCCTGCCAAAACGTAAGCTGACCGTCCGTTCGTTGCACGTTTGTCTCACCAGTGACGTTTGGTTGTCATAGATGCAGTATATCAACCCGGTCACACTAAATGCGTCTCGCACGCAGTGTGTTTATCATGCAACTCATACGCGAAAATTTGTTTTTACGTGCATAGGAAACACACCGTGTGTAATATATGTTTGGTTTGGTTAGGATTATGGCAAGCCAAGAGGTTCAGAATTACACCATAAATGAATCGCGTCTACTGCCAAACATAGTTATTAACATATAGTAAGGATAAGCATGATATTGCCTAATTGCAAGCTTGTTTCAGAAATGGTGACATTTTTTTTCCATCATTATTGAACATCATTATAGGAGTAGGCTATTAGGTTGAATGAGTTAGAATTAAATGTTTTATTAATCATTAGAAAATAGACATTAAGAGAATAAATTGTTATGCAAGTACTTTTACTTTTAATACTTAAAGTACATTTAAAATAAAGTACTTTTTACTTTTTACTTAAGTATGGTTGTCATTGTGTTACTTCTACTTTTACTAAAGTAAATATTTATCTGGGTATTTGTACTTTTACTTAAGTACTGAGATTCAGTACTTCCTCCACCACTGGTAACCATGGCGACAGACGTGGACAACTGGGTCGGTTACGCCCGTTATGCGTGCTCAACAGCGTGAGCGTCCCTAGCAGGGTTTGGGTCAAGCATTATGGATAGGGTTGGGTATCGTTTGAATTTGAACGATTCTGATTCCGATTCCTTGTTTCGATTCCGGTTCCTAACGATTCTCGATTCCGATTCTTTTTAGAGGCAGGGTCAAAAAAGTTTAGCTAACCTTGCTAACCAACGGCCTTTCTGATGGAAATACTCCTTCTGTAAAAATACTCCTTTTGTCACAAATTTAGCATTTTGCCGAGATTTCGTTATTTTTAGAAAAGTGAAGCCACACTTTGGACCGCTGACGTAAGCTACTCATGTTCGACTCGCGCGGTTATGCCAACACTTCCGGTAGACGCTTCTTCGTTGGTGTTGTTCAGCGGTTTCTTCTTCCGCTCGGCGGACTGTGAATATCGAAACTAGGAATCGAAATTTTAACTTTTGAACGATTCCGGGAAAAACAAAAAGCTAGTCTCGGTTCCAATCGATACTCGATTCTCTAATTATGGACCATGGCAAGCAGACTTTGAGACAAAAAGAATATAAAACTATAAAACTAATCAATGTTATATAGTTCAACATGATGAGAAGTTAGAATACGATCTGAATGTTATTCTCTAATGTTGATCCAGCTTAGTCTCATTCAGCCAACAAACAACCTAACTAACATTCAACACACACAATGCAGTTTAGTTTATAAACTGACCTGTGTGAGTAATTCAGCGTGTAGTTCGGTAGAATTAAATTGTCTTATTACTTTATATCCACAGGACTCGTGTTGCGTGTGGCGCTGGTATACGTCTGGCAATCGCGCCCTCGCAATCGTCATGTTAAAAACATCAATGTATTCACTCATCCATAAAAGATCCATCAGAAGATCCATAATTCAGCTTAATGCGGAATATACGTCATCAACATACGTCATCAATGATATTGTAAGAGATTAGCGCCCCCTGGTGGCGAAACAATCTTGCAAATTGTACCTTTAAGATAATAGCAGGGTTCCAGACTCCGACCAAATTTTTTGAGAATGTGTGAGTTAAAATTGTATGTGGTCGCATATGTGCGAGTGGACGCTCACGCAATATAACGCCGTTGTATCCGCTGCTGCAGTCCGTAACTTATTGTAGCATCTCACACGAGGCCAGAGTTCAGTTAAGGCGAGACACTACAGGTGAATAGGGTAAAATTTTAAACTAGCAGATATCACCATGAAACTTTCCCAGTTGATTACCTACATTAAGATGAGAAAAAAATGTATTACAAGTTTTCTGTAATTTAATGTTTAAATATGCAAATGAGGCATTATCTGATTAAATATGCACTAATTTGCATATCTTTAAAACAACGAAATCTGACTATTGGATAAAGACAGGTTCAATTTTTTTTTCATTGTGTTCATATAATAGATGGGGAAAAAATTACAGAAGGATTTATGGATATCTACTTTTGTTATCCTGTAAATCAGAATATACCATCAATAGTCTTTAAAAAATGATTTTCGCCATGTTTTTTGGGATAAAATGTTACATAAATCAGGCTAGGAATAATATATTTACAAATCCCTCTGTAAATGTCTTCATAATATAACTAGGTACAAGACTGGAAAGTTTGGTGTATATAGGTGCTACTGAAGTGGAGATTTCAGACTTTGAGTATGAGAAAAAAGTCATTTTGAGAAAACGGGCTTTAAAAATTTATATTCTAAAATTCCACACATTTCTACATGAAAACATTGCTAACAAGCAAAACAACTGGCCAAGTTATTGTTTATAACAATTTACATGAAAAATGACAACTGAATAAAACAACATTGCCAAATAAGCAGCCACTGTTGTGTTGCGTGCGCTTCATCTTTATTTATAGATTGGCTTCCCATCGACAGCTTGCGTTCAGATGCGCTTCCCGAGGGCATTTCACAGGGTAATACATCACTAATTTCCCTTTTCCCCCTAACAAGTGACAACTGCTGTAATCTTTTCGATGACTGACGTGAAGTCATTTTCATTCATTCATTCAGAAAGTCCCGCGGAAAGCTAAACCAAATCAGCAAGCGTCAAAGCATACCATGTGACCATTGACGAATCACGTTAATCCCCGAGGTAAACAAATCCCCACTTTTGCTTCCACGATTGGATGTTGATTAAAAGGAAATGACCATATTGGAAAGGAGAGAGATGTGCTTTGTATGTGATGAGAGGGTGTAAGCAGCGATCGCGGAGCAGCGCGATCATTTAGAACGCAACTTTTGTTGAATTTATGAGAAATCTACAGGTGCAAACTGACAGTGTAGTAAAATAAAGACCTAAATATGTATTTCGGACTTTTTTTTCAACACAAGTCTGAAAGAATACAGGTTATTGAAGTCAAATATCCCAAAATCTCAAAATTGACCAGTGGAAAAAAAAAACGATGTTTTTGCCTGCCGTGTCTCGCCTTAACTTGTTTATTCGCCAGAGCACAACGTGCAGACATTCAGAAAACACAGCTTCAGAATAGAGCGACGAAAACCACAGACGAACTTCCTCAACCCGCCCCCTCTCCTCAGGCCGCCAACCAACAGCTACATTATGTTCAAAATAAACGAGTAGGCTACATCATGAATCCATTTTCCAAACCGTGCCCAATGCCTGCGTGACTCGCCATAGACATTAATGGAGAGAAGTAGCTCACGCGCAGTGCACACTGATGGTCAATCTCCAATTACGAATTCATGAATTAAGGCATATAAAAATGAAGCTGTCTCGAAACAGCGTGCCCCTTCCTACCTCTTTTCAGCAGTTCGATGATGACTGAGGAAAAGCAAATTATTATAAAATGCAGAAGGTAAGGAGTGTGAGATTTCAGATTTTTGTTACAATTATAAACTTTGATAATGAAAAATCTGTATTAGCTTATTATAATACTCTAATCTTTTAAAATGAAATGCATACATTTGACTGTTTAATGATGGTTTAAAGATAATGCTGATAGAAAGATGATAAGAAAGAAAGAATATGATTCAAACGTAAATAGATTGTACATAATTCAACTGTAAAATGCTTAAGATTACAGATTAAAATTACTGTCCAAAATCCATGAAAATCCTGAAATTTGGCAATGATAATTAATATATTACAGGTATTTATGCTGCAACCCAGAAACTCTTTGCTAGCTTTGGTCCATTGAAACCACTGTTCATCAGCATGCATTGATTAATCCCATGGCATGTAGCAAAAAAAAAAAGTGCGACTAAATCATATGCTGGTGAAAGTTGGTAGCACCAGTGCAACCAGTAGAAAAGTTAGTCTGGAGCCCTGAATAGGGACAACCCTTTTAGATCATGCGCCGGGAGGGCCAACCATCTAACGCTTAAGACCATGTGCTCAGATCTAAACTACGGCCCTCAGTGTGTGTGTGTGTGTAGATGAGGAGTGTGTAATGAGGCGCTGGTGAAGTGTGTGTCAGTGACTGGGCTGGTGTTGAGGGTGTCGGGTGGCTCTGGGTTATTTCTGTGCTGACCGGAGCAGCGCATGACCACCGCACAGAAGCATGGACCCCAGCATGCAGCAGGTTCGGACGCCTTCTCTCTCCTGGGCTTTGGGGAAGAGGTTGGCACGGGTGCGGAGACGGCCGGGCGAGGGCAGAGAGGGAGGAATCGGGTGAAGGAAGGAGCGGGCGTCCCGATCGAGAGCGTGGGGTTTTCCTGCTGCGCTTCAGGCCCGGCAGAATAAATACTCAGGAATCCTTCAGCTGTTGGGCTTCAGCTGCTGCTAAAATAAGCTCTCGCCCGTCGCCTCGAGGAAAACCTCCACTCTTCTTCCTCAGGCTTTCTGTCCTGGTGTACCAGCACACATAGCTAAACTTTCTTACATCGAGATATGTGTACTGGAGATTTGTGTACTGGAGATATGTTTACTGGTTTGTGCTCAAAACAAGATCATATATCTGCCAATGGGGGAGATTTTCTCTTTGAATCGAGTTGATTTTTCTGAACTCATTGGTACATATGAAGAGTTCAGATGCAAAAGCCTCTAAGTGCCATTTGAAACTTTCTTCTTTAATGATGATTTTTATCAAACTTGTATATTTATGTTCAGTAATTTCACTTAAATAACAATTAATAGGTAATTATCATTGCTATTTAAGTGAAATCACTGAACTTAAATATACAAGTTTGATAAAAATCATCATTAAAGAAGAAAATTTCAAATGGCATTTAGAGGCTTTTGCATCTGAACTCTTCATATGTTCTCTCACTTCATTTTCATACATTTATCACTCATTTTGATTCTCCGGTAAACTTAAGAGTGTTTAGATATTTGTGCTGCAAAACTGGACAGAAACATCATTTCTGAGGAAGAACGCGGTGTGAGAAGCAGAGTCTGCTTTCAGCGCTCGAGATTTCTCCAGGGATATACAGTACAGATGGTTTCAGAGCAGCTTCACCGTGATGATCAGGGAGATATAGAAGAGTCATTGTTCAGATCTATCTGATCATATTAGCAGTGCAGTCGAATCTTTGATGTGACGAGGGCTATTGTTTCTGTTGATGGTGTGTGTGTGTGTGTGTTCCTCAGGTGGTGGAGCAGGGCATGTTCGTCAAACACTGTAAGGTGGAAGTCTACCTCACCGAGCTGAAGCTGTGTGAAGACGGCAACATGGACAACATCGTCACCAGGAGGTTCAGCAAAGCAGACACTATCGGTACTGAATAGTGTTGTCAAAAAACTCGGTACTTCGGTACCAAGTCGGTACTAAAAAAAAAAAAAATGTTACGGTACCAGCTTTTCTAGGTACCGATACCAGGTTAATCCAGTTCAGTTCTAGACGCGCTGTCTGAAAGGTGCACAGTTGCGTCCTCTTCATAACGCTGATATGCTCTCTCTCTGAATCCACTTGTTGACACGAAAGGAGGAAAGAGCCACATATGGAAATATTTTGGATTAGGCTAATGTCACGTTGCCATAAGAGGCCGATTACATGCAAATTCGCAATTTCAAATATAGGCGCGAGGCAAGCGCGCTCATAATAAAAACTCGTTGCATAGCAACGACAGACGCCGCGTGAGAGCAAGCGCTTTGGAGAGAATAAGCACGCGCAAAAATATAATAAAAATCACACGCGACATGTGAACGGCCTCTAAAGTGCTTTCGGGGTAGTTTTACGAGTACATGAGCACAGTAGTATCCAACCAACACCAGAGTACTATGGTATTAGTATTGTCATTTAATGTCAGTGCCAGTTCTAGGCGTATTCTTGCCTTTATAACTCAGCAGGTTTAAAAAGCCTTTTTAAAATTAAATATGAATGCAGTTTTAGATTAAATAAAAGTACAGTAAAATCAAATAAAACATGTTTTTTCTCCTGTAGCCTATAGTTTGGTAATGCTACAATAAGATACCATTTATCAACATTAGCTACTTCACATCAACACATTGAGTGAACAATATATTTTTACAACATTAATTAATGTTTGTAAATGTTATTTAATAGAAACACTTCAATTCATTCATTGTGCATTAAATAAATGTTAACGGATTAGAACTTTACAAACAACTTTATAAATGTGTTAGTGTATACTATTGTTTATTTTAGGTCATTTTATCTAATCTTTTTCTAAAGTGTTTATAATACAAATGTACAGTTTCCATACTTGTAACCGTGATAAACACTTAAATATATGTAAATTTAAACTAAGCTTTGGTACCGAAATTGGTACCGAGAACCGTGAATTTTTACTGGTATTGGTACCGAATACTGAAATTTTGGTACCGTGACAACACTAGTACTGAATAACTCCAGTCTGAGATCCAGCCGATTACGATCATTCTGTCATTAATGATTCACCTTCTCCACCTAGTTTTAAACCTGTAAGACCTTTATCTTCAGAACTCAAATTAAGATATTTTAATGAATCTTTCTGTGCCTCCACTGACAGCTACGCAACCGACTCCTTGATGCTCAAAAAGTTCATAAAGAGATCGTAAAACTGATCCATGTGATTTGACCAGTTTAGTCCACACTCGGTCGCCTTGTGTGATGAACAGATTGAATTCTTCCCCATTATACTCTCTGTGGTCAGTGTTTGAAACCCATACTGGTATCACTGCACGCCTACAGAGATGATAAACAGGAAACCCAGTGTATGATCTCTTTATGAACGATGGTCATGGACAGGAATCTCCATTTGTGTTTCTGAAGATGAACCTTCCACTCTTTGAATGGTGGCTGTGGTTAGGTGGAGATCTGAACACATCTGTCCTCACAGACACCATCGAGCAAGAGATGCGGAAGCTGTTCAGCATTCCCGACGAGAAGGAGACCCGGCTGTGGAACAAGTACATGAGCAACACGTTTGAGCCGCTGAACAAGCCGGACAGCACCATTCAGGACGCCGGACTCTATCAGGGACAGGTGAGCAGGCGCTGTCTCAGGACGGACGTCATTGTTTCGCAGTGATGGGAATGAGGCTTTTGCTCTGTCTGTCTGCAGGTTCTCGTAATCGAACAGAAGAACGAAGACGGCACGTGGCCTCGCGGCTCTTCGGCGCTCAAGTGAGTCAGTGTGACGAATGGATCATCAGATGCTTTGACACTGGCTTGTTTGCTTTCTCGGTGTCCTTGACCCCTTCCCGACGGTTGGCATCATTTCCCGTAACTCATGCTCTTCTTGTCTTTTGAAGGTCATCTGGTGCTTCCTCTCTCTCTGCTTTACCAAAGATCTGCCCTTCATCTCTCACAAACAATCATAACAGCAGCTTCAGCGGCCGCAAGTAAGCCTGCAGGGGGCGGGGCTGAGAGGAGGGGCTTATGTGGGCAGGGCTAGGTGGTGGTTCTTCGTGGGCGGGGCTTGGGGAGGGGGTTATTTGTGGGCGGGGCTAAGGCAGGGGCTTATGTAAGCAGGGCTCAGTGGTGGTTCTTGGGGAGGGGGTTGTTTGTGGGCGGGGCTTATGTGGGCAGGGCTCGGCGTTTGTTCTTGGTGGGTGGGGCTTGGGGAGGAGGTTATTTGTGGGCGGGGCTAAGGCAAGGTCTTATGAATGAGTTTGGCTAATGGAAACCCTTCCAGTTTTCTCCATTTCTCTCTTCTGCATTGATTGTCTTGAATCTTTTGGGTCGTTATCATGTGTAAACGTCCACTTACAGCCCTGCTCCAGTTTCTCACAGATGGCCTCACGTTCTCCTCACACTCTTTGGAGTATTCACTGTATTGTAGGGCTGGGTGTCGATTCACATTTCAATTTCGATTCGATTTCGATTCACAAGCTCTCAGTTCGATTCGATTTCGAATTTTCGATTTCGATTCCTGATTTGATTCTCGATTCGACTATAATGAAGATGTAATACAAATCCTATATTTATAAAAAAGAACAGTGGACATAAGTTTACTAGTGGTTAAGTAATACAAGGAAATTAAGAGCCATAAACCTGTATATAAAACTATTTTTATTTTAGGTACACTAAATGCATACAAAGAATAAACAGGATTTTGATGCAATATGCAAAAAAAGTCAGAACAGTCGCACAGCTTGATCAAACAGTATCATGTTATTTTATGTTTAAGATAGATATAGATAAATAAATATATAAATATTTAGACATTTTTTTTACATTGATCTTACCTAAATGGTAGTGTAATTTTTTGTTTATTTCTGTTTTAAGAGTTTATGTACGGAAGCTTGATTTCAATCTTTGAATTAAATTGAAAAAAGTAGCACAAATAAATACAATAGAATAAAGACACAAATTAAGAGACATTTTGGGGTAGTTTTTTGGGTATGTCAGAAATACTACAGAAACTGAATAAAGTAATCCAATGTAAAATAACACTGGATAGTCTTTTTAGTCCATACAAAGGCTATTAATTCTGATTGCTTACAATTAATACTATATTCTGTTGTTATGACAACAGAATTAATGACTGACACAAATGGCTGCGTTCACTTTAAGAACTAGTGCGCGAATCCATTACTGTTTCATTAACTTTCTGTTACACGCGTTTAATGCTAATTTAAGACATTACCGACTGTCTTTACGAGGTTACTCACCAAGACCAGAGTTTTGACATAATGTTGCGTGTTTTAACTGTTAAAGTGATATAATCCAGGGATAAAACTTTTGTTTCTGGCGAGCTGTTTGCGAGGCAGATTTGGGCTGTAACGTTACTGTGCACGCAGTGAAAGACATCTCTGAGAGTGCGCGAGCACGGGATGGTTTAACATTGCTTGTAAAACTTAAAAAGACGTGAAAATGATAAACGTTAGTTACGATCATAGGTTACGATGCAATGCTGGCCCGATTGTTAAGTGAATATTCCGTCGTGTCCCGACTCCTGAACGCGTGTGTGTATCGACTGCAGCGCTTGCCTAGTGCAGAGAGACGAGAAGATGCAGCACCGCGTCCGCGAGCCCTTTATATGGAAAAAATCGATTCCCGCCGTTGAGAATTGATTTTGAATCGAACACATTTTAAAAAAACGATGAATCGAAAAATCTATTTTTTTGCCCAGCCCTACTGTATTGTAGATTTCATAGTTGATGTTGTGATGGCGAGACTCCAGTGCAGTGTTGGGACGTCCTGGCCTGGGCAGTTTGCCAGTGGTCTGAATCTTTGTCGAGTATTATTTTAAATGGCTAGGAAATGCTTTAAATCAGGGGTTTTCAAATTGGGTGAATGTAAGCCTTCCCTAGAGTAGCATATGCCTAACCACAATTCAACAAAACAAGCTTAAAGGGATGCACATCAAAACGAAAATTCTGTCATCATATACTCACCCTCAAGTTGTTTCAAACATGAATGTCTTTCTTCTGCTCAACACAAAGGAATATATTTTGAAGAATGTCAGTAACCAAACAGATTGACTTACTAAAAAATACTATGGAAGTCAATGGTTCCAGTTAACTGTTTGGTTACTGACATTCTTAATAATAATCATTCTTCAAAATATATTCCTTTGTGTTCAGCAGAAGAAAGAAATTCATACAGGTTTGAAACAAGCCTATATGATGACAGAATTTTCATTTTGAAGTGAACTATCCCTTTAACGTGTAATCGGTGCCAAAGCTACCGACGACGACACCTGACGGCTGAAAAAGCGTCTCGAACAAAATCAGCACAACGGACAGCTCTACCTGATCAATGAACGACAACGCTGTTCGTTCACGGAACACATAACATTTAACAGTCAACTGCATTGAAATCATGTTATCAGATCGAACAGATTCACATATTTTTTTTTAACGATATAAAACCTTTTTAAACAAAGGTTTAAACAAACAAAATGCGCCATTCACGTCATCACGTCTACAAGAGTGGCAAAGCAAAAAAAAAAAACCCTCTATGGCCCAACCAATTTATGCATTCAAGACAACAAGTTGTAAGTGAGCTTCAATTTAATCGTCCATATTAGTGGGAACAATGAGAGGCCGCGCTTTTGATGCGCAGAGGATATTTTCCCACCGGTTAATCGATGTGTGACAATACCGGTAATACCGGTGTCACCGGCGGAGGCTTTTAAATCGCTAATTTAAAGGTAAACGTAAAATGCGTGCGTTTTCACGGGCATCAATGGGCATTCATAATGGTGCGGTAGTACTAGTGCGGAATGGAACTGTTTTGTTATTGTGCCTTAATATGCGCTAGTTTGAAAATGAAACTTTCACTTTTAAATTAGCGTCAATTCATCCTTCGCTTGGAGTTTGATTGACAGACATGTGATCTGACCAATCAAAATCCACCATTTTTGTCCGACAAGGCAGTCAGGAGAGTTAGTAGATTAACGTCAGTGGAACTTGGCTTTATCAGGCAATCTGTCACGACACATTAAAGAGCCACAAAACGGTAGGCCTTTAATTTTCTTTGACTGACCAAATTTGAAAGTTGAGACTTTGTTTCATATTAAATATTACCTGCACGGTCCTGTCTGTCGATGCGTTGAGGTGTCCACTATTTTTCACTGCTTGAGAACGATCCGAAATCGCCCCCTAAACCCCTACGTTAGTCCACTAATACTGTTCACTTGAAGGAGTGAATGAGAAGGAGTAAATAAAAACGAGTGAGCGAATTTGGACAGCTGTTGCAGACAGAGACGCGATCTGACACTCGTCCCATTTTCTCACATTTTTTTGGATAAAAGCGTCTTCGAATCTAGCCTAAATGTAGACTAATAATAATAATAATAATGACAATTATTATTGGCATTTATAAATGAGTTCACTTAAGACGTTAATAGGCATGTGTATCATAAAATAATTTATTAATGTTTTAATAAAGTTTTATTTTTATATAACTTAACATTTTACTGTTTATGAAATGTTTTTGTTTTAGGCTTTCTTTATAGGCCAATGTGAAGTTAAATATCTAAGCCTTGTATATAAAGAAAATAAAAAAAGTTTGTGAATATCGTTTCAACAGTCTAAAAACGAATAAAGAAAGCATGTTTTTCGTAATTTAATTACGAGTTAAAAAAAGGGAAAAGAAATGGACGCAAAAGTACACCGTCAGACAGTGTCAATCAATGTATTGGAGATTGAGAAAACGGCAACCGTCACCATAGATGTAAAGAAAACAAAGTTGCTTGTCAGATTTTCCTAACAAACAACCTTTTTTTTTTAATAAGCCCCAAAAAACGCAACCCGTGCTGTTTTAAAGCGACTTAAAAAAAAACAAAGTCGCGTATTATAAACTGCTTCGCGCCTCCCCTGTCGCTCTTTGGCGCCCCCCAGGGGAGCCGTGCCTCACCTGTTGAAAACCGCTGCTTTAAATCCTGTAATCATAAGCTTTTACAACCCTCCTTCTGGTCGCGATGCTCCGATCAAGATTTTTGTCCCAATCATCCAAGCTTTATACAGTCCCTCCAGAAAATCGCGATAATGCGATCGCTGAATTCAATGCATAATCAGCCAAAGTCCGCATATTCATGCGGGGGCTGCATTTTTTAGATTTCCGTGATAAATATGCGGGCATCGCCTGCGTCGGGGGAAAGCTGCTCGAACACACCCGAGTTATGGCATTTGGGACCATGTTAGTCTTTCTATCAGAAGTCCAAAAACCCTCTCCAAACTAGTGTTTTAATGAACATAAGAACAAGTTACATGTGTAAATCTTGAAACTTTTAGTTGTATTTGTTTTAAAGACTATTTAAGACTATTTCTGTCCCAATCCCATGTTTACAGTGAGTGTTGCTGCAGTAAATCCATGGGTAACGCTGCTGGTGTGTGGACTGAAAGCCTGTAGCTAGCTCATTCATGGCACAGTGCTTCTCCTGGTTTGCACGCCAGCGCTGTTTGATCTGATATCTACAGTTTATAACAGAACTCTGAATGTTTCTGAATCCGAATGTTTCCACTGGATCTCACAGTGATGTTATTACTTGTGGCGAATTCAATGTATTTCTCCCCTGGATCTCCAGCGCTGTGTTGTGACGGTGTCTCGTGATGGAGATGGGCTCGCGACTGGCGCTGCGCTGTCTGTCATTGGTCCAAACTCATAAACGGTCCGTGAAGCACAAACGAGTAGTGCACAAACTTCAGCTGGTGCGCGTGTTTCTAAGGCTAGACCCATGGTGTGGAGTTGATGTCAGTTGTTAGATCTGTCAGGGTCGGTGAATGAACAGTGATATCCGGAGAGCATGTGCTTTACGCTGCTCTCCCTGCATGACCCTGATCATCTGCTTTCACTGCTGCCGTAACCCTGTAGGGCTTCTCACTCGCGTGTGTATGTGTGTGTGTGTGCGCCCGCAGCATGAAGAGCAGCTACGGCCTGTACAGCAGCACTAGCTACGAGCCCTCGGATCAGGGCCGGCGCGCGGAGAAACCCGGCCTCAGCGGCCTCTCCAACCTGGGAAACACTTGCTTCATGAACTCGGCCACACAGGTGACCTCCAGGAACACAAGCTTCCCTCCCCATAATCCCTGATCCAACTACAGCCTGCGCAGAGAGAGATGAGCTCAGTCTGTGTGTGTGTGTGTGTGTCGTAGTGTCTGAGTAACGTCCCTCCTCTGACCGAGTACTTCCTGAAGGACAAGCACCAGGAGGAGCTGAACGAGGACAATCCCCTGGGAATGAAGGGCGAGATCGCCAAGGCCTACGCCGAGCTCATCAAGCAGCTGTGGTCGGGGAAACAGAGCTGCGTCACGCCAAGACCCTTCAAGGTAACGGCCAGGACCAGACAGAGCATCATCCATCTGACTGCGTTTACATGCAACCAGAGAATGCACTAGTTACGACATTGACGGCTCAAATCGCACTGAAAAACCTTCACGTAATCGAACCGATATCCCCGTGAAACTTCGATAGGAGTGGAAGGGTTTATTCCTTTTCTAATCCGATCGAGAAACACTTGATTGGATTGAAAACCGAAACAAAGGACTGCGCAGGTGCAATAACGTAGAAAAGCGTGATAACGTAGAAATAGCGTAATGACATATAAAAGCGTAATAACGTAGAAATAGCGTACTGGCGTAGAAATAGCGTAATGGCATAGATATAGCGTAATGGCGTAAAAATAGCGTAATGAAGTAGAAATAATGTAATGACGTAGAAAAGCGCAATGGCGTAGAAATAGCGTAATGATGTAGAAATAATGTAGTGATATAGAAATAGCGAACTAGCGTAGAAATAGCGTAATGATGTAGAAATAACGTAATGACGTAGAAATAGCATACTGGCGTAGAAATAGCATAATGATGTAGAAATATCAATGATGTAGAAATAGCGTAATGATGTAGAATGTAGAAATAACGCAATGACGTAGAAATAACGTAATGATGTAGAAATAAAGTAATGATGTATAAAATAGCATAACGGCATAAAAATAACGCAATGACGTAGAAATAGCGTACTGGCGTAGAAATAGCGTAATGATGTAGAAATAGCGTAATGATGTAGAAATAACGTAATGACGTAGAAATAGCATACTGGCGTAGAAATAGCATAATGATGAAGAAATATCAATGATGTAGAAATAGCGTAATGATGTAGAATGTAGAAATAACGCAATGACGTAGAAATAGCGTAATGACGTAGAAATAACGTAATGATGTATAAAATAGCATAACGGCATAAAAATAACGCAATGACGTAGAAATAGCGTAATGACGTAGAAATAACGTAATGATGTAGAAATAACGCAATGACGTAGAAATAGCGTAATGACGTAGAAATAACGTAATGATGTATAAAATAGCATAACGGCATAAAAATAACGCAATGACGTAGAAATAGCGTACTGGCGTAGAAATAGCGTAATGATGTAGAAATAACGCAATGACGTAGAAATAGCGTAATGACGTAGAAATAACGTAATGATGTATAAAATAGCATAACGGCATAAAAATAACGCAATGACGTAGAAATAGCGTACTGGCATAGAAATAGCATAATGATGTAGAAATATCAATGATGTAGAAATAGCGTAATGATGTAGAAATAACGCAATGATGTATAAAATAGCATAACGGCATAAAAATAACGGAATGACGTAGAAATAGCGTACTGGCGTAGAAATAGCGTAATGATGTAGAAATAACGTAATGACGTAGAAATAACATAATGATGTAGAAATAATGTAATGACGTAGAAATAACGCAATGACGTACAAATAACGGAATGACATAGAAATAGCGTAATGACGTAGAAATAACATAATGATGTAGAAATAATGTAATGACGTACAAATAACGGAATGACATAGAAATAGTGTAATGGCGTAAAAAGACCGTAATGAAGAAATAATGTAATGATGTAGAAATAGCGTAATGACGTAGAAATAGCGTAATGACATAGAAATAGCGTAATGACATAGAAATAGCGTAATGATGTAGAAATAGCGTAATGACGTAGAAATAACTTAATGACTTAGAAATAGCGTAATGACGTAGCAATAGCGTAATGATGTAGCAATAGCGTAATGACGTAATGACTTAGAAATAGCGTAATGACGTAGCAATAGCGTAATGATGTAGCAATAGCGTAATGACATAGAAATAGCGTAATGAAGTAGAAATAACGTAATGACGTAGAAATAACGTAATGACGTAGAAATAGCGTAATGAAGTAGAAATAACGTAATGACGTAGAAATAGCGTAATGACGTAGCAATAGCGTAATGACGTAGCAATAGCGTAATGACATAGAAATAGCGTAATGACGTAGCAATAGCGTAATGATGTAGAAATAGCGTAATGACGTAGAAATAGCGTAATGGCGTACAAATAGAGTAAAACAGAAATGGATAAAATTAAGTCTGCTGTTTAAAGCGAATGAAGAACCAGTGTATGAGAATAGTTATGCGCAGACATCGGGAAATCTGTATGTTCATGCAGTGAGCGAATGTCAAACAATATGAAGTTTGTGACGTATAAACACACACATCGACCCGATCACATGTTCAGCGCTCATGTAAACACTCAGATTGATCAATCGTCACGAGATCAGTCCGACTGAAACACAAGCTGTGTGTGTGTGAACCATCTCCGCTGTGTTTGAGTTCTTCCTGCCACACAGATATTGAACTCAATCAACACTGAACTGAACAATGACTCTGTTGTCTTTTTAGAAATCGTTCAGTTTTAGTTTGCAGCGGTGATTGTGTTCTTTCCCCGATCCTGACGCGCGCTGACGAGACTGAGACCTGTGCTTTTAGTAGCCGAGAAATCATCGGCGAACTGTGTATTTCAGCCGTTCTCATGTTTCCACCACTCTTCCTGACGGCCACTGTTGCTCTGTTGAAGGCTGAAGCACATGTGGTTAGGCTGAAGTGTGTGTGTGTTTAGACTCTGGTCGCCGGTTCGGCTGTTGTTGAACAGTGTGTGTGTGTGTGTGTGTGTTTAGACTCTGGTCGCCGGTTCGGCTGTTGTTGAACAGTGTGTGTGTGTGTGTGTGTGTGTGTGTGTGTGTTTAGACTCTGGTGGGCCGGTTCGCGCCTCAGTTCTCGGGGTATCAGCAGCAGGACTCGCACGAGCTGCTGGCCTTCCTCCTCGACGGGCTTCACGAGGACCTGAACCGCATCCGCAAGAAGCCCTACATCCAGCTGAAGGACACCGACACACGCCCCGACCAGGTCCATCACACACACACACACACACACACACACACACACACACACACACACACACACACACACATCACTACATCCAGCTGAAGGACACTGACACGCCCCGACCAGGTCCATCACACACACACACACACACACACACACACACACACACACACACACACACACACACACACACACACACACACACCACTACATCCAGCTGAAGGACACCGACACACGCCCCGACCAGGTCCAGCACACACACACACACACACACACACACACACACACACACATCACTACATCCAGCTGAAAGGACACTGACACACGCCCCGACCAGGTCCATCACACACACACACACACACACACCACTACATCCAGCTGAAGGACACCGACACACACCCCGTGATTTGTATATGTAAATTTCTTAAATAAATTAGACAGTCTCCTCTGATAACAGATCACTCTAAACTGTCATGCATTTTCTGTAAATCTGCTTTGAAATGATGAGTATTGAGAAAAGCGCTGTACAAATAAAAAAACACAAAGTCCTGAAGTGTGACAGTCTAACTTTAAAAAGACCTTTTCTCGGACACAAATAGTGTCATAATGATTAAAAAAAATTCACAGTTTTAACTTGATCCTTGATCATTGTTTTGCAGTCGATTCTTACAGTCGTTTCCATTTAGTTTGTGGAGTTTATAAAGGTCAAATGCTAATCGTAATCATCCTGTGGTCTAAAAACATTTTTAATTCGTGTGTAAAATTAATTTGTCTGAAAAGTAGTGAAATCACAAAGAGAAACAGTTTGTCCTCCACTCAGCTAGGTCTCAGTTTGAACCTGAAGGTTTGATGTTGAAACCTCCCCGCCTCACGTACCTCATATGAGCGATACGCGTGTGTGTGTGTGAGACGGCTGACGGTGTGTGTGTGACTCGATCTCCTGCAGGTGGTTGCAGAGGAGGCCTGGGAGAACCACATCAAGAGGAACGACTCCATCATCGTGGACATCTTCCACGGCCTGTTCAAGTCCACGCTGGTGTGTCCCGTGTGCGCCAAGGTCTCGGTGACCTTCGACCCCTTCTGCTACCTGACGCTGCCCTTGCCCATGAAGAAGGAGCGCACGCTGGAGGTGTATCTGGTGTGGCTCGACACCCTGGCCAAACCCACGCAGGTACCGTCCGTCCGCACCGATCGTGTGTTGCGCTGAAACGTGATGAGATATGAATCATTAACTGTGGTAAAACGTCTCTTTTACTTTAGTTTTCATCAACGTATATCCCTTCAGAGAAAAGCAATCACGGAAATCATGCCTAGAGCACCTTCTAGTGGTCATTACATTAAACACAAAGGAAGAACCCTACATGAGATATACTTAACAACTTTAGCTACACAAGTTTAACAGAAATGATTCTCATAAGAGTGTTTTCCAACAATGATGTAATGAAACAGTGATAATTTAAGTTTGAAGGCGCTAATAAAGTAATACAATTTTGCCAAAAGAACGACTTTTATTTTAATTAAGAGTGAACCGTGTTACAGGTGTGGCTGTTGTTTTGGTTTCAGTACAAGCTGACGGTGCCTAAGGTGGGCCACATCTCGGACCTGTGCGCGTCGCTCTCGGCTCTGTCGGGCGTCCCGGCTCAGAAGGTAACCGTGGGCATGAAGAGGCTAACCTCTCGCCTGATCAACTTCCCAGCATTCACTGTGTTTCCTCTGCCCGTCCAGATGATCGTCACGGACATATACAACCACAGGTTTCACCGGATCTTCGCCAGCAACGAGAACCTGAGCAGCATCATGGAGCGGGACGACATCTATGTGTGAGCTCCTGTGGTTACTGAGGCGGGTGAGAGGTCAGTGCGTGTTTCTGATCGCTGCGTCTCTGTCCGTGTGGAGCAGGTTCGAGCTGGCCGGCAGCCAGGACACCGATCACGTGGTGATTCCTGTTCATCTGCGGGAGAAGTACAAGCAGTCGGGCTTCAACCACACCAGCACGCCGCTCTTTGGCCAGCCGTTCCTGCTCAGCGTCCCGCACACCATCAGCGAGGACAAGCTGTACAACCTGCTCCTGCTGCGCCTCTGGTGTGTAGCGGCTTCACGCTGGGCTGGGTTTCCCCACACCTACGCCATTCTTAAGCTGTTCCTCACCGTTAATACGCATTTCCCCAAAGTTTCCCTAAGCTACGCCATTCTTAAGCAGTACCTTATCGTTACTATGTGATTCTACGCATGTGCCCTACGCTACGCTGTTCTTAATTTGTACCATATCATCAGTACTTGTTTCCCCAAACCTTCCCTATGCTACACTGTTCTTAAGCTGTACCTTAAGCTGTTCCTGATTGTTATTACGTTTTTCCCCAAACCTTCCCTGCACTCCGCTGTTCTTAAGCTGTACCTTATCATTAATACACGTTTCCCCATACAGTCCCTATGCTACGCCGTTCTTAAGTTGTAACTTATCGTTAATAGGTGTTTCCCCACATCTTCCCTATGCTATGCCGTTCTTAAGCTGCACCCCTAGAAATGGTGGACCTTTAGTTGTTATTATACCTTTAGAGTCTTCGTAGCGCGGTAAGGGTCAATGTTATGGGGAAATCCAGCCCAAAACACACACAGATGTGTAGAAAACAGAGCCTCTCATCTAATGTTTAGTTGATGGGAATGTTTATTTGTTACTACTAGTTGAGAGTTCGTCTGGTGTCGTTTCAGTCGTTACGTTCGGCCGGCCGCTGAGGACGAGGAGAGTGAGGAGAAGCTCTCGCCCAAACATCACTCCATCAATGGCAATGCCACCAATGGTATACTGGAGGAGGGGTGGCCTTGTAAGCATGTGTTTGACCGCATCTCTTCTTACACATGTCAGTGTTGGCATTCACTAACAACAATGCATCCTGTGCTGCCGCATGCTGACATGTTCACCTCATCCTTCCCTCGGGACATTTTGACCTGGAATTGTTTAACCAATTGTTTAACAAAAATGTAGATAGAAAAAATATTATCAAAATGAAATAAAATAAGCTTTTTGGACACAAAAAATCGGTATAAATGTATGTCTTGAGGGAAGGATTTGTCCCAGAAAGCAAGGAAAGGATGAGAGTTAAAAGGTCTGAGGCACTTAAGCGTGAGGTAAGGATGAGGGTTAAGAGGTCTGAGGCACTGAAGCGTGAGGTAAGGATGAGGGTTAAGAGGTCTGAGGTACTGAAGAGCGAGGTAAGGATGAGGTTTAAGAGGTCTGAGGTACTGAAGCGTGAGGGAAGGATGAGGGTTAAGAGGTCTGAGGCACTGAAGCGTGAGGGAAGGATGAGGGTTAAGAGGTCTGAGGTACTGAAGAGCGAGGGAAGGATGAGGTTTAAGAGGTCTGAGGTACTGAAGCGTGAGGGAAGGATGAGGGTTAAGAGGTCTGAGGCACTGAAGCGTGAGGGAAGGATGAGGGTTAAGAGGTCTGAGGCACTGAAGAGTGAGGGAAGGATGAGGGTTAAGAGGTCTGAGGTACTGAAGCGTGAGGTAAGGATGAGGGTTAAGAGGTCTGAGGCACTGAAGCGTGAGGTAAGGATGAGGGTTAAGAGGTCTGAGGTACTGAAGAGCGAGGTAAGGATGAGGTTTAAGAGGTCTGAGGTACTGAAGAGCGAGGGAAGGATGAGGGTTAAGAGGTCTGAGGCACTGAAGCGTGAGGGAAGGATGAGGGTTAAGAGGTCTGAGGCACTGAAGAGCGAGGGAAGGATGAGGGTTAAGAGGTCTGAGGCACTGAAGCGTGAGGGAAGGATGAGGGTTAAGAGGTCTGAGGTACTGAAGCTCGAGGGAAGGATGAGGGTTAAGAGGTCTGAGGCACTGAAGCTCGAGGGAAGGATGAGGGTTAAGAGGTCTGAGGCACTGAAGCGTGAGGGAAGGATGAGGGTTAAGAGGTCTGAGGTACTGAAGCGTGAGGTAAGGATGAGGGTTAAGAGGTCTGAGGCACTGAAGCGTGAGGTAAGGATGAGGGTTAAGAGGTCTGAGGTACTGAAGAGCGAGGTATGGATGAGGTTTAAGAGGTCTGAGGTACTGAAGAGCGAGGGAAGGATGAGGGTTAAGAGGTCTGAGGCACTGAAGCGTGAGGGAAGGATGAGGGTTAAGAGGTCTGAGGCACTGAAGAGCGAGGGAAGGATGAGGGTTAAGAGGTCTGAGGTACTGAAGAGCGAGGTAAGGATGAGGTTTAAGAGGTCTGAGGCACTGAAGCTCGAGGGAAGGATGAGGGTTAAGAGGTCTGAGGCACTGAAGAGTGAGGGAAGGATGAGGGTTAAGAGGTCTGAGGCACTGAAGCATGGCTCGTCTGTCTCACAGGTGAGATGGAAACGGACGAGCCGGACGACGAGTCCAGCCAGGATCTTCCCTCGGAGAACGACAACAGCAGCCCGTCGGAGGACTCGCTAGGCGGCGGAGACCACGAGCTGGAGAACTCCACCAACGCCACGACAGTCAACGGCCAGAAGAAGCGCCTCTTCACATTCCAGTTCAACAACATGGGGAAGACCGACTCCAACTTCATCAGGGCAGGCGAGCCACGGCAGATCCACTTCGATGAGGACCACACGAGACTCAGCGGTGAGAGCTGCTAACGTGTGTTTCCAGAGATCACTGGTGTTTAAAGTGTCATCTGACTCGTTTCCTTGTTTTCCTGCAGATAGATGCTATCTCTCCTTGGACTGGGAGCCGGAAACGAAGAGGAAATACTTCAACGAGTCGGTGGCTGAGGTAAATCTCTCCCGCTTCCCGTCGGGAGTCGTTCGTGTGGTGAGATTTGAGATGCCTTGACTGTTTCCTCCACAGGACTTCGATAAGCACGAGAGTATGGAGTACAAGCCCCAGAAGAAGAGCTTCTTCAAGCTGAAGGATTGCATTGAGCTCTTCACCACCAAAGAGAAGCTGGGAGCCGCAGACCCGTGGTGAGGCCGAGCGTTAGTTCTAGGGAAGGGCCTTAGGGCCACGGTTCTTTTAGGAAAATCACGATTCTTTTCATGTTGGTTTTACTATTTTGCAAGTGAGGCATTACAGCTGTGTGGTCAGCGCTACAACACTTCGACTCCGCTCTACCATATTCATAATTTTGTCAATAGTTTAATCTTTCTCAAAAATAAAAACTTTTGAAATGTTAATTAAGTAAGGGTTAATGGTGTCCATTGTTTAGGTATTAGTGGACGACGGCAAGGAGTGAACCTTCCGACGCGCAGTGAAGTCACCTCGAGGGCATTAACCCACTTAGACCACGGTCACTGGCCAAATTACACATTTTTAAAACATTAGTGTTTATTTTGATTAGTTTCACAATCAAAATCTAAAGTTTTTACAAACAATAACTTAGTTTCCCTGGTTACAAATGACGGTTTATTTAGCAACCGGAGATATTTATAGTCCGCTCTGCTCGGAGAACCCTTCACTCACGAGCCAGAAAGCCATGTAAGTTAGGCTCGTCTAGGAATGGGCGTTACACTTTCGGTTTTCAACCTATAATTAAAACACACAGGTAGGCGTAATATAACGGCTAACTAGATGTTTGTGTTTAAGAGTTAATTGTGAGCGGATACTTTGGCTACCTGTTGCTATGGTTACTCACAGCTGATGTAGCCAGCGTATTTATTTATTAATGTCGATTTAGAGCCATGGTGGACGCATTGAGGTAATTTTAAAACAGATGCAGATCATTAAAGGACTAGTTCACTTCAGAATCAAAGTTTCCTGATAGTTTACTACCCCCCTACACGTCATCCAAGACGTCTTTCTTTCTTCAGTGGAAAAGAAATGAAGGTTTTTGAGGAAAACACCATATAGTGACTTCAGTGGTCCAACGGGTCGAGTATTATAGTCTCGACAAGATCCCAGTCGAGGAATAAGAGTCTGATCTAGGCAAACCAGTGGCCATTTTATAACAAAATAAACATTTATATACTTTTATCCACAAATGGTCCTCTTGCTCTAGCTGTGATGCGACACACATTATGTAATCAATGAGTTCACATGTTTAAAGTATCCCCACTGGTGTAGTGTATTGTCAAGTACAGGGCTTCAGACTTTTGAACATTTGAGGCACACAAGCTGAAAATTTAGGGGCACACCTTAAATCAACCTAATAATTCAAAAGCAGAACGATTAAACAAAACATATATGGTAGTGGAAATGGCAGCCGCCCACTGGTTACAATGATCCTGAACCGTTCAAAACGAATACATGTGTCGTTCCAGCTAGGGTATGCAGCATTAGTTCACACACTTGAGATGCTTTCTGTGTGTACAGTTTAATGGTGAGTCTTCAAATACTGACAGAACATGATACAGGCCGATATCTGAGACTCAATGCGAGATCCAGTGGGATTGAGATGTTTGAGGAGCCTCTGGTGCTCAGACTCTAGCTGTGACCGACTGTCCCGTGTGTGTGTGTGTGTGTGTGTCAGGTACTGCCCCACCTGTAAGCAGCACCAGCAGGCCACGAAGAAGCTGGACCTGTGGAGTGTCCCGCCGGTGCTGGTGGTCCATCTCAAGCGCTTCTCCTACAGCCGCTACATGAGGGACAAGCTGGACTCGCTGGTGGACTTCCCACTGCGGTACGTCAGCGACAGCTCAGTGTGACAGAGGCGCGTATGTGTGTGTGTGTGTCACAGTCGTGTGTGTGAACGGTCTCGCTCTGTTGACCCTCAGTGATCTGGACATGTCCCAGTTCCTCATCAACCCCAACGCCGGGCCCTGCCGCTACAACCTCATCGCCGTCTCTAACCACTACGGAGGCATGGGGGGAGGACACTGTGAGTATCTGGAGTACCAGTCGCTGTTACTGGTGGGGCATAGGTTAGGGTTAGTAGAGTACAAGTAGAGTCTTAGTAGAGTGTTAGTAGACTGATAGTAGAGTGTTAGGAGAGTGATGGTTAACTAATAGTAGAGTGATAGTAGACTGATAGTAGAGGGATAGTAAACTGATAGTAGAGTGTTAGTAGACTGATAGTAGAGGGATAGTAAACTGATAGTAGACTGATAGTAGAGTGTTAGTAGAGTGATAGTAGACTGATAGTAGAGGGATAGTAAACTGATAGTAGAGTGTTAGTAGACTGATAGTAGAGTGTTAGTAGAGTGATAGTAGAGTGTTAGTAGAGTATTAGTAGACTATTAGTAGAGTGTTAGTAGACTGATAGTAGAGTGTTAGTAGAGTGATAGTAGACTGATAGTAGAGGGATAGTAAACTGATAGTAGAGTGTTAGTAGACTGATAGTAGAGTGTTAGTAGACTGATAGTAGAGTGTTAGTAGAGTGTTAGTAGACTGATAGTAGAGTGTTAGTAGACTGATAGTAGAGTGATAGTAGACTAATAGTAGAGTGTTAGTAGAGTGATAGTAGACTGTTAGTAGAGTATTAGTAGACTATTAGTAGAGTGTTAGTAGACTGATAGTAGAGTGATAGTAGACTAATAGTAGAGTGTTAGTAGAGTGATAGTAGACTGATAGTAGAGTGATAGTAAACTAATAGTAGAGTGTTAGTAGAGTGATAGTAGACTGATAGTAGAGTGTTAGTAGACTGATAGTAGAGTGTTAGTAGACTGATAGTAGAGTGATAGTAGACTAATAGTAGAGTGTTAGTAGAGTGTCTGAACACAGATGATGATGAGCATTGGCAGCAGAAACTGAACGGTTGAGTGTACCTGGTTTGCCTGTCAGACACTGCGTACGGCGAGAACAAGGACGACCAGAAGTGGTACAACTTCGATGACAGCAGCGTGTCGGCCATCAGCGAGGACCAGATCGTGGTGAGCAGCTCCACGCGTCACTGACTCTCCTGCGTTCCTTCAGCATCACTCGCCCAGTCAGATGAGTGACGCTCTCTCTCTCTCTCTCTCTGCAGTCCAAAGCAGCGTACGTGCTCTTCTACCAGCGGCAGGACACGGTGCGGGGCACGGGCTACTTCCCCCTGGACCGGCAGACTCCCGACCAGACCACCGAGACCGAGGAGGAGGAGGAGGATCCGAACAGCAACCAGCAGCCGGAGAACACCCGCTGAGCCCGGCCCACCCCAGCTGCAGAAGAGCTGGACCCTGCCTGTAGTGTTCGCATGAGTCCACGGCTGAGCGGTTTACACGTACGCTTGTTTTATCCTGTAGATAACGCTGGTGAACGAGGGATCCCAGGCTTCTCCGAGAGGGAAGTTTGCTGTTCCTGGTTTTCTTTCACCTCAGCCTTAACCGCACTCTCCGACTGTTGCCTTTTCTTTGCACATGTGTGTCACTGGTTTGAGCTCCTGACACGCGTGTGCACTCGCCCGCCCGCTCTCTCTCCGGAGGATCCCGGCCGTCGCCTTCGGTCTCGATGAATGCTCTCGATCGTGACGGCAAACACAGGCTCTCATCTCTCTCTGCGGGAACCGGCTGACGGACGGACGGGCTTTATAAATACTGTACATAAGAGTTCACTCCGTGAGTGCGCTTTTAATAAATCTATTTATTTATACGGACGGAGGCGGAGTATGCGCTGAATGTGGCTTGGATCCGTTCACAGGATGCTGAATCATCTGTGGGTTTTGTAAACTGAACATGTCCTTGCATGATACGGGGACTCTCGAGTGCCCTCTGGTTTACATTTGACATGTGCATGTGTCTTTATATACTGACTTCAATAAATCTGGGTGGAGTCTTGTTGAGTCGTGATTTCTTGAGTCTGAGCTCATGCTCAAGCGTGATCATAAGCACTTCCTGTTAGCATGTTCATATATAGAGCTGGGAATAATGTAGTGGACGGAGACGTTAGCAGTGCTGGTAGATCATCATCTGCACACACACACACACACATCTGTAGAAGTACAAACACGAGTACGAATTGTTAAAAAACTTCTGAACATGTTGAATATGCGCAATGGTGAAATTGGTTTAGATAAAGGTTTGAGTGACTAATCAAAGTTTAAGCTGATAAAAATAGATGTATTTAATGTTATCCATGTTCACAGGTTACAGTCATTCTGTGAGCAGATTCCAGTGGTTCAGCTAATCTCACGTCTCTTATTTCTTTCATTCTGGCTAATCTTGCATCAGAATCTGCTTTTGCCCATAATTGCACGAGTGGTCCATATGCAAGACCAGGGACATGCACAATGCATCTGGACTTTGGTTTGGTCCCATGACGTCCCCTATGCCTTAAAGGACCTGCAGTCCTGGCCCACTGACTCATGTCTTGACTCAGACATAACTGAGAAGTTCAGCTAAAAAAAAGGTTCTTCAGGGGTTCTTTGCAGTGGTCATGCTGCTATATAGCACCACTAAGCCCAGTTTGGTTCTTCAGCAGTTCTTCAGTGGTTCTCTGGGTAGGTTAACATGCTCTATGGCACCTCTTATGGTTCTACATAGCACCATATGACAAAGATAAGTGCTTCCCCTATGATTACAAGCCAATGAACCACTTTTAGTGCTATTTAGCACCATTTTTTTAGAGTGTATGTTAAAGAAACCGACTACATAACCGACTAGATTATCTATGATGAGATATTTATGAGATATGTGTATATGTGTGTGTGTGTGTGTGTGTGAATAAGCTACTGGACATCTAAAATTTCCCTTTGGTATGAATAAAGTAGGTTATATATCTATTAATCTATCACGTTGATTCAATGTCAGTTTGCTGTCTGGGCAACTTCCAGTTCCGGAGTCTGGTGCTTTTTTGCCATCCCAGACACAGCAAACTGACATTGAATCACGTGGAAACATGACATCGAAACAACGTTGATCTGACATTGTTTTGCTCATCGAATTAACGTTGAACCAACGTCAGACGAGTCATTCTTTGCGTTGTTTCAACGTTATGAAAGCAAACCAATTTTCAATTTTCATACCCAGACAGCAAACTGACATTGAATCAACGTGGAAACGACGTCTCTCATGACATTGAAACAACGTTGATTTTGCTCATCGAATTAACGCTGAACCAACGTCAGACGCGGCATTCTTCAAAGCTAAATGAAAATCGAAAATTGGTTTGCTTTCATAACGTTGAAACAACGCGTTGATTTCAAGTTGATTTTCCGTTAGTTTTGAAAGAATGACGCGTCTGACGTTGGTTCAACGTTAATTCGATGAGCAAAACAATGTCAGATCAACGTTGTTTCGATGTCATATTTCCACGTTGATTCAATGTCAGTTTGCTATCTGGGAGGTTTGAAGAATGCCGCGTCTGACGTTGGTTCAACGTTAATTCGATGAGCAAAATCAACGTTGTTTCAATGTCATGAGAGACGTCGTTTCCACGTTGATTCAATGTCAGTTTGCTGTCTGGGATGTGTTTTAGATTGTCATCCCTACATCGCTAAACTAAATCGAAAAAAAAAAAACATTCATCAAATCTGATCTGATGGTTAGCCCTTTGACTCCTGTCTACATCTGCTTTCAAAGATGCATATTTCTCAGGCCTGTGAGGTTAGCAACACGCCGAGTTTCATTCATGACACCAAAGTCCAGTTTGCACGCTGTCGCCTCCGTCATGATCATCTATTGTTTACTATATACTTCTTATTTATTAAAATCAGGCAATTGGTTGATGAAGCAGTGATTACAATTATGATTAATGAAAAACGAATAATTCACTTTAAAGAAAGGTTTCTTTGTGGTTTCTCTTTAAGATCTCGGTGAAAGTGTTAAAGTCGCTTTCAGAACGGTCGTGTCCGTGAATATAAAACGCATGTGTAGACTGATGCTTTTCTAAAGTCTGGACCACTGATCTACATAATTTATCATTCTAGACCAGAGTGCTAGCATTCTATGTAAACAAATACTTCAACAGGAAGTAGAAAACCGTTTAGTCGGTTGAACCCGCTGTGAATCATGGGAACGGGCGCAGAAAAAAATGTGATCTGTGTGTGTAGGATTGTGTGTGAGTATAAGCTCCGCATATCTTCTAAGAAGCATATTTAGTTACTACTGTACTTGTTCTGACAGTCGTATTAGGCTACTCAAAAGAGTTTGAGTTCTGATTTTATGTTTATTTCACATTTCTCATGTTTTTCTTTGAATGTTCGGGGGCTACGTGACTTAAACAAGCGAAAGCTTTATTCTTGTTTTGTAAATCCGTAAAAAGGGACATTTATTTTTTGCAAGAGACGCATTCTTGTGTAAACGATGAAAAATTCTGGCGTTCTATTTCTTTCTGTCATAACTCAAGTTCATCAGGTGGGGTCGCTATATTGCTTAATAGTGGATTTCAAGGCTTTCTTCAGGGATTGGAAGGTGGGTTATCTCAGTTGTTCACTTGGACAGCAATTTTTTTTTATAATGATTAACATATATGGGTTCAATAGTTCTGCAAACAACAAAACTTTACTTAGTATAGTCATTCATTCATATAAATAATTTAAAACTTAAATATCCCTCTGCTTTTATTTTATTTGGTGGCGATTTCAACGAGGCACCAGGCTTAGTTGCTGATAGATTCCCGCTTAGACATGCATCTAATAGCGTCAACCCCCTGATTGCAAATCTCTGTCAATGTCTGAACCTGATCGATGCACATAGATATTTACACCCCGATACACACATGTATACTTGGCTTAAGTCAGATTTTTCTCAAAAATCACGTATAGACCTGTGGCTTTTTTGGTATCAGCAGAAATTTCACCCTCACCTTTAACTGATCATGCAGTGATTGACATAACGTTATCGGATGATAAATCCAAGCGAAGAAGAAAAATGAACCCAGGGTAGCTACTGGAAGTTAAATTGCTCCTTTTTACTCTCTGAATCATATTGTCAAGAGATTGAGAAAATCGCAGAGAGTGTTAAAGCTCAGGCTAATACCTCGGCTATTTCGAAACGGGAGCTATATAAATATGAATGTAGGAGATTTTCGGTTAAATTTGGGAAAAATAGAATATCTGTTAAAAATAAGGAAATTGCAAACTTAATTAAAAAAATAAATGAAATTTTACAGAACCCTAACCTGAGTGAGGAGGATAAGGAATCTCTTTATACTTCACAAGCCTGTCTGGATGATCTCTTTCTAGAAAAAGCAAAGGGTGCTTTTATTAGATCGAGGTCAAAATGGCTTGAGTTTGGAGACAAAAATTCTGCCTACTTCTTCAACCTAGAGAAGAAACGTGGCAGTATTTAAAAAAATCTCTTCTCTGTATATTAATAATACGTTATCTAATGATTCCTCTGTGATTTCTTCCCATGTTTCTAAATTTTATCAAAATTCGTATACCTCCTCTTTTGACCCCAACGCTTCATCGTTGTTTTTTCAAAAGATTCAATCTGTTATTCCTAAAATTAACGACCAGAACAGGAAAAAATGTGAGGATCCTTTTAATATAGATGATCTTTATAATATAGTCAAAAGAATGCCTAATAATAAATCCCCGGCGCCAGATGGCTTACAAAAGTCTTTTGGGACTCTATTAAACATCTTCTTTACGACGCCCTTATTGAGTGTTCAATGAAAGGTGAATTGGCAGAATCTATGAAACAAGGTCTCATCTCTCTTATACCCAAACCTAATAAGGATAAAAAATTTTTAGCCTTGTTTGGCAGACATAATTTCTGACTCTCCAGCTGGTTTTCTAAAAGGTATACATATCATATTAATTATAGATATTCTTGATTATTCTGATTTTATAAACAAAGAGGCTTTAATTTAGTTTATCGACTTCTATAAAGCTTTCGATACAGTTGAGCACTCTTTTATTTTTGAAGCCCTCTCTAAGTTTGGTTTTGGTAGTTCTTTTATTAATATGATTCATACTCTTTATAATGGTATTAACAGTTGTGTCTCCTTAGCTTCCGGCACTTCTCCACGATTTTCAGTGGGTCGAGGTATTCGCCAGGGATGCCCCATATCTCATTTTCTATTTCTATTGGCTGCTGAGCTTCTAAGTTTGTATATAAAACACTCAAATATTGAGGGTAAAAAATATTGGAGAGAACACTTTAATAATTAGTCACTTGTCTCTTTCTTAAAAATGATTCACAAGTCTCTGGTGCCCTAAGCATTTTTAATCTTTTCTCCAAAGCTTCTGGATTAGTGTTAAATCCTACGAAAAGTGGAATTTTGTATGTGCATGATTCAGATAAAGTTTCTGTTGATGGTATTAAAGTTAAACAGCAGGTAAAATACCTCGGGTCGATATTTGCAAATCAGGTTCAGAACGTCTTCACAACAATTTTCAACCAACTTAGATAAAATGTTGCTGGCTGCAGAGAGACTTATGGGAGAGTCCTGCTGTCTAAGGCTGAGGGCATATCTCGCCTAGTTTACCCTGCTCTTTCCCTATATGTTGATAAAAACACGATTAAATTTATTGATTCTCTGCTATTCCGTTTCATTTGGAAAAATATAACAGAATGCATTCAAAGAAAATCTTTGATAAGAAGTTACAAGGAGGGTGGTCTTAACGCTTTAGATTTTCAAACTATTAACCAGACAATCAAAATTAACTGGATTAAGTATTGTATTTCTAACAATGATTTACCCTGGTTTTGGATCCCTAATTTAATCTTTAAAAAATGTGGTGACCTTAAATTCTTATTATCTTGTAATTTTAAGTGTAGCAAATTACCTATTAAACTCTCAAATTTTCATAAACAAGCTCTTGAATCCTGGACGATTGCTTTCAAACATAATTTCTCCCCGCACACGTGTATTATTTGGAATAATGAAAATGTTCTGTGTGGTAACAAATCTCTTTTTTTTAAAAGAATGGGTGGATCTTCTTTCCTTTTATGATTTTATGTCCCTAAAAAGTGTAATGATTTCTGTAAGAGATCTTAATAAGGTGACTAAAAGCATTCCTGTAAGTGTAAGAACCTTGTTTAAAGCGCATTTAAGTTACAACCGTTTAAACAACTTTATTCCTACACTTGCTTTCAATGGTGTCAATATATTAGATAAAAAATACAACAACTTCTTTATTAGGAATGCTCTTTCTTCAACTTCAAGAACTCTTCCTAAAGCTCGTTAAATGGAGTATCTAAAATAAAAGAACTCCAATTCAAAATTGTTCATAGATATTACCCTTGTAATCTATTCTTGAGCAAGTTTTCTGAGAATATATCTTCTTTATCCTTTTGCAATATTGAAGAAGAATCTATTCTTCATTTATTTTATCAATGCCCATTTTCTAAATCTTTCTGGTCAGATGTTACCTTGTTAGTTTTTTACTGTTGCAAGAAATTGGTACAAATTTCTGATTCTATAATTTTTTATCAGATTTTTGTTCTAATGATGTTAATTTTAATTATACTGTATTTCTGCTGTGTCTTCTGGGCAAGTTTCATCTTCACAAAGCCAGAACCATTCACTGTATAAGCTGGATCTTAGAATGTTCTCATCTGATATAAAGTCCCTTTTTTCTTCCTTTAAAAATCTGTCAAAAGAAAACCATTAAACTCTAAGGTTTCTAGAACACATAATATTCTTGAGTTTAATTTGGTTATTTTTACAAATTGTAATATTGTATTGTTTTGTATAACTTAATGCAATCTTTTTTGATGTCTGTAACCCCTCTCTTATTGTTATTGTATTTATTATTTTATTTTTTCTCTTCTGTTTGCTGTTATTGTATGTTTTCTTTAATTTGCAATACAAAATTTTTTTTAAAAAGGATTGTGTGTGAGTGTGTTTTGCTGAGCAACTGCTTCATCTACTGGTCATTCACGAGAATACAATCTGGCCTGTAAATCATGTTATGCTGGAGTTAAAAAAACAAACAAACATTTAAATGACATTACACTGTATCTGTTTAGTCCTCTTCTAGGTCTAAAACACGAATGATGTGTGTAATAGTGGTGTTCAGTGGGTTCTAGCACCAGATCATCAAACTTTCACTGACATTGAGCTTACACACATTAACATGCAAAGCTAACACAATCCTAATGCGGTCACTTCACACAATTCACTAAATATTGAATTTCATATTTAGTATGGTGATATATTTTTTTATTTAAAACTGAAATTATTCATTTGTAAAAAGAATATGTTCTTTATTATTTATCAAACACAACAGAAAGAAATATCAAGAAATATATCATCCTACATATTAAATGCATTGTAGGCTACTGTATGTACTGTATTGGCATGACACATAAAAATCCTGAGGTCAAAGGGCAGATGATTTTATATGACACCAGCTTGAATGGCTCTCATATGTTAACAGCAGCACTTATTGATTTTAACTCTATTATCTGTGTGTGCAGATCTTATATCTGGCCTAATAACCAGACGAACATCGAGTCCTGTTTTATGCAGCAGATTAGAATAGTGTCTGAGAAAGAAGCGGAACTAAAGATCTGGTCTTCGACTTTAATTATTCTAGACTTTACATTTACAGACATACTGCGATAAAAAATAAATAAATAAATAAATAAAAGTAAAAAAATAAATAAAAAGAAATTGCCGCGCGACTCGAGCATCACTAGCTACGGGAAGCAGAAAGGTTCAGACTTCACCGCTGTTTCTGCGGTCACGTGTCAAAGACACACTTTATAAAGCAAAACATTCCGAGGAGAGAACAGCCACGGAAACAGTTCAGGTACGTTATAATAAGTGTTTAGAGATGTGGCGATTTGTTCATCTTTTGATTTAAGTAAACTTATTTCCCTGATAAATCATAAAACGATCTTTAAAAAAAGAAATAGACGTCAAACACGAGGTAAAGTATGTAAGTTAGTTCTTCACCTGCAGATGAGGGAGGAGATCTGAAGAGCTCGACGGGTGAGCGAACAGACTTTATTAAAGATCTAGTTTCCGAGAGAATCACTCACTGGGAATGATGTAAAGTGCAACAAACGGGACTAAAGACACACCCTAAGACAAATGTGCTTCTTACTGTTCCCAAATGTAACGTTAGACATGATGGAGCAAGAGATGTGGTATTTTCGTATTTGTATGTGTTTTAATGATGTCCAAGTTCATTTTTTGTTCAAAACAATCACATTAGCAAAGTTTGTACTATTTTGAGGATTTTTTTATGTTGCTGCAACTACGGTACTTTTGACTATCCCGATTTAAGAAAATCAACTTCTATGAATTTGATTTTAACCATCACAACCTCTGTAATAAAAATGGACACAAAATAGAATGTAGTCGTCAAGATTTTAATCTGGACCATGTTTATTTTTTATGTTTTTCGAGTCATCCTTAAAAATTGTCCTTACTACAATAACGTTCTATACATTTTTCTTCAGTAATTTCTATAAAAAATGTGATGTATTTAAATAGCTTTTTCAAATTTGATGCAGTTTTGTAAATAGTGATATAAAAAAAATCTAGGGAATTTCATGTTTTTTTTATGCCATGTAAAAAAATTACATTAACCTTAGATTTCAATTGTTTCCATACTCACAAAAGAGAACATATTTAACTTTTTACGACAAATGTTGCAATTTCAATGTGTTAATCGCTTAAAGGAGTAGTTCACTTTTGAAAAAACTTTTGCTGATAGTTTACTCGCTCCCAGATGTCCATGTCTTTCTTTCTTCAGTCGAAAAGAAATTAAGCTTTTTGATAAAAACATTCCAGGATTTTTCTCCATATAATGGACTTCAATGGGGACCAAACGGTTCAAGTTCCAAAAGAAACTTTAAGTACAAACGGCAAACTTGTTCAAAGGGCTTTAAACGATTCCAGACGATGAATAAGGGTCTTATCAAGCTAAACGATCGTTCGTTTTATAAATAAATAACAAAGTTTAAGTTTTATAAGCTCAAACGCTCGCCTTTCTCTGTTCTGTAACGCACTCCTGTTTGAACTCGTTCATCAAAATGAACAAATCTTTTTCCGAGTCATTTGGTTCATTCGGCGAAAGAAACTAACGAATTGATTTGGAAAAAGATTTGTTCATTTTGTTGAACGAGTTTGAACAGGAGAGTCATGAACGTGAGCCACCGAACAGGGTTGCGTTTCCCGAAAGCATCGTTAGCCAACTATGGTCGCAATTTCCATTGAACTCTATTGGTAACGGCGGAACTTGCGACCATAGTTGACTAACGATGCTTTCGGGAAACGCACCCCAGAGCAAGGTGAGCGTTTGATCTTATAAAACTTAAACATTGTTATTTTTAAAAAAAATTTGCGATTGTTTCGCTTGATAAGATGCTTATTTATCTGGAATTGTTTAAAGCCCTTTGAACAAGTTTGCAGTTTGTACTAAAAACCTTAATTTCTTTTCGACTGAGGAAAGAAAGACGTGGACATCTTGGATGACATGGGGGTGAGTAAATTATCAGCAAAAGTTTTTTCAAAAGTGAACTACTCCTTTAAGTGTAAAAATGAAAATAGAGCAGTGACATCTTGTGTCGGCAAGGACACAATGTTAAACTGCCACGACAAAAAATGGCATATATGTATTACTAATATATACTTCTGTACTAATAAAATACTGAATATTTGTATTTTAAAATATGGTAAACCTTGAATTTGGCTCTACCGCAACACAAGGTCTTTACCGCAACACCTAAATTTGCTGCGGTAAAGACATGTTAAAACGGAAATGACATTTTTGGTAATATTTTAGCTAATTGCCAGCTAGCAAGGCCTACCACATTAGTTCTTACTCTTAGCATCTTAATGAATTCAACAGTAAAATACATTTGTTTTTTAAATGTAGTTCAAAATAATCAATTATTAAGCTCACAATAAATACTAGAGCAGAAAATATCATTTCTGTTTCCATAGAAACTAGACTTGTTTGTGTTCGATAAAATGTCATAATTAAAAAATAAAAATAAGTCATTTTTAGGTTAAAAGTGCCCATAGTTGCAGAAACACACTATATACTGTCATTTAAAAAGTAAAGATTCTGAAACCATTGAAGGAGATCCCATTGTAATTTTAATACAGATTTACACTAGTAACAATACATTATATCTTTTAATTGTATGATATGATTAATATAAATTTTTTTAAATAAGATTTTGCATTGAGGTTAATTAAATGTTATGGGAAAGAGGAGGCGGGAACTGGCAAAACTTTTGAAGACTTTAATAATAAAATAAACAAATACAGATTTTAATTAAAGACAGGAGCTCCTCCTGCTGTGACATACTGTATAACAGAACACATCATAAATCCAGCGATCACGCTCTCTCACGGCACCGGCCTCGTCCTGCTCGCCTCGTATATAAACCTGACTTAATATATGATATTTCCAGTCTGAATCTAACCATCTCATGTCATCAACTGGAAAAGTCTGTCAGATATTTATAACCGTGTTTATTATTGTGCTTTTTTTTACAATACCATACTTTTACAAATTCTTCTGTTATTGAAAAACTGTTGCTTTACCTTGAATAAAACTGAAAACCATAAGACCTTTGTCTCAAAATATAAACATTAATTTTATAGATTCTAATTTGCTACTTAAATCTACAACTTTTAAAAAACATCAAATATTACAGGATAAGCTTTGCGCTGCTACTCTCGATCGCGTCACAGATCTGCCTAATATCCGTGTGATCTTTGAGAAGCGAATGTTTAGGAAAGTTTTGTGCATCTAGTGAATCAGAGGCGCCTTTAGCCCTGTTGTTACCCTACATCTGCATGTATAATAAAAAAAGTGACTGTAGTATTTTTACAGTCTTTTACCATTAAAATCACAGTCATTTTTACAGTGTATAGAAGCAGCTGATCAAACAGTTCCTGCTTGTTGTGATTCTGTATCCTTAAGTTCAAACTAGAAATGAAATTCTGCATCTTATTTTCCACCTATATTCATATTCAGCAACTGAAATGTAGAAATAATTTGTAATTCTATGCCTAATGTTGCAGAAGCCTGGTTTATACTGGTAGTCAGTGAAGGGTGTTCAGGATCAGTACTGGTGTGTGTGTGTAGGATGGCTACAGTGGGAGTGAATGTGATCGAGACGGCGGCTCTAGGGAGACCCTTCCAGCTGGGGATGCTGTATGACTGCAGGAGAGATGCTCTGATACCAGGTACAAGAACATTTACTGCTTATAAATGTAAAAGAGGTCCTCTGATGTGAAGTGAAGGTGACCCTGATAAGTCATATAAGCACACTTCAGAAAGGTTTTTTTTACACAACAGATGCACATAGCCTAACAGTGGGATCATTTAATCAATATTGTTTTTATAGACATAAATATTGACTCGAGTGTATTCAACACTTTTGCAGGAATCACACTGTGGGATCAAGAAAAGCTACAGCAGAGTCTACGAGTCCGTCCCCAAATTAACACGAATTTCAAAGTCACGGCTTCAGACTCCATTCAGGACAAATCAGCCTTACTGGACATCGACGACTCTCTGAAACTGAGTGTTTTAGGTGGACTCGTCAATGTCACAGGAGCAGCCAAATATCTCAAGGACACCACGAAGTCCTTCAAACAGCAGAGACTGACGCTACATTATCATTCAACCAGCAGGTTTGAAGAGCTGAGCATGAACCATGTGGCATCTGAAAATATAGTTCATCACGAGGTGTTTGATAATGACGCAGCGACACACGTGGTGACAGCAGTGCTGTATGGAGCAGACGCCTGCTTTGTGTTCGATAGAGAAGTTTCCTCAGATGAGGGAATGAAGACAGTAGAAGGAGAAGCTAAAGTGGCCTTTGAGAAGCTCAAATTAATCTCAGTAGACCTAAACAGCAATCTGAAGATGAATGACGCTCAGAAGAAAGCAGTCCAAAAATTCACATGCACGTTTTATGGTGACTTCCCGTTACCGTCTAACCCGACCTCTTTTGAAGATGCGTTGAAGGTTTTCGCTGATCTTCCAAACCTGCTGGGAGGAAAGAAAGAGCTGGCGGTTCCTCTGAGAGTTTGGCTTTTTCCTCTGGACAAACTTCTCTCAAAAACTTCCAAACTTCAGAAGGACATCAGCATGGATCTCATCATTAAAACTGAATCAGTGATTGAGAGTTTGAATACAACTGAGATGAAATGCAATGACCTTCTGGAAGATTTGCCTGCCTTGACCTTTACTGCATTTCGTGATAAAATCCTGCGAATGAAGCAAAACTGCTTGATCTATAAACCGAGACTCATGAAGAAACTCGGCTCTCTGCTGCCGAACATCCGTGGAGACGTGAAGAAGGAAACTGACCTGAATGATCTTCTACAAGAACATGATGAATCTCCATTTAGTGAAAGTGACCTTGCAGAATGGCTGAAAGAGAGAGAAAGAGAGTCTAATGTCGTTAATCTAATGCTCATACAGCTGAAGACTGCCGGTGCAATGGTAGAAGGCTACATAGACCTAGATCTGATTCAGATATGTCTAGGAGTTGGAAATGTGGTCTGCTACACGTTCACATCACTGGACTGGTCAGATGTTCTGCTTCTTCAACAAAAGGCCTATCTGAGTCCTTTAACAAAAGGAAAAAATGAGAACAGTCCTGGTCCAGAGCAGAAGTCTTGGCTCACTCCTGAGATCCAAAAGACACTGAGGAGCAACTTGATGATATTTAAGAACTTGATTGATTCAAAAGACCGTAAACCAGCCAAGTTCATGGTGTCCTCAAAGGAAATGAAGAATAATCCAGGATCCTGCATTCTGCTGTATGAAAGTGATAGTGATGAAGCCGTTTGCTTTATTCCTCCATCCAAACCAGCCTGTCCAATCACTGAAAAGGTCAAAGATGATAGTGTGGTCCTGAAGGTTCCTCCATCATGTCCTGAAACAGTAGAGCTCAGAATACGGTACAGACGGAGGCCGGATCCATACTGGTCGTCTAAACCTGTGCCGGAGCATGAAAACACAGTTACTCTGACTGGTCTGAGAGAAGAAACTGCATATGACATCAGATGTGCAGCGCTGGGGAAACTCAACTACACCGTATACAGTGACGTCACTGCAGTTGTCACGAAGGTATGATGATAATTTATCAGCTGAAGAAGAAAAATGTAACCATTTTTATGAAAAATACAGACTTTATGAGAATGAGTCATCGGTAACTTCTTATTTTTCAAATGTTTCCTCTAGAAAAAGGGCAGTGTGATTACTGGTGAGTCAGGTATCATTCCTGCACATCTTTAATTTTAACACTTTGTTGAATTGTGTTGGTCTGTGAACAACAACAACAGGTGTATGTGTGTGTGTGTGTGTGTGTGTGTGTGTGTTGCAGAGACTGACCCTAAAGGAGAGGGTCGCTCGATCCCTATCACTGCCTCTGAGAGTTGTAGTTCTCCAGGAGCTCATCAATCTCCTCAGTGTATGTGCCTCTCTTTCATAAATTCATCTTTGGGGTGAGACTACCATGCTAGAGGAATAAACTTGCTTAGTTCACTCCTACTTTGGTAGATTGCATTATATAAGTTGGTAGATTGGATATCACTTTGCACAGACTAGGTCTATGGCTCTTTGTTGACACATAGCCTATGATGTTTTAAGTAGGGGTGGGAGAAAAAATCGATCCATCGATGCATCACGTTTCTCTCTCCAACGATTCTGAGTTCAGTTTTTAACCAGATGTGCGATGACGCTGAGTTTGCTTTAGAAACACCCGTATCCTGCTTGCTTCCAATTCCTCACATAGGCCTACACACACCACTCGAACCCTCCGGAAAATAATCTTTCATAAAGTTCGGAAAGATTGAAGTGAATTACGAGGACATTCACACAGGCTTCATTGCACGCGCTGTGAGAGACGCGCACTTTGTTTGATGTTACACTTGAAGTGTGCCGTCTCGCCCATCGGTATATTATTTTCCTCACGAATGCTCTGCGAAGTCATCATTTATGTGGTTTGGAATGCAGTGGACTTATATATTTAAAATATGAACCTCACTAACAGAAGACTGCTTTCAATTTCACATCCTCACGCGCGCTTCGTTTGTGTAGACTGCTCGCGCACGCGGCTGTGCTGTGTACAATTCTTAACATACAACTGTTTTAATTATTTTGTAGAAAATTTGTAATTATTTAAAAAAGTAGGCCTACTTAATTATATAAACTAATGAATTAATAAGGGGGGGGGGTATATAAAGAATCGTTCTGGAATCGGATCGTGACTCCCAGAATCGGGATCGGATTGGATCGTGAGGTGACCAAAGATTCCCACCCCTAGCCTTACGCCCCGTTCACACACTACACGCGACTTTGTTGCTGCAGTAGTTCCCCACTACTGGTTGCCTAGTAACGTTTGTGAGTGACTTCACGGAAGTTACTCTATGTTAAAACAAATGCGTTTTCTTGCCACTACAAACAAATATATTTTGTAAGGAAAAGTCTAAATATAAATGGATTCAGTACATAAAATGCATAATATTAAAGATGAACGAGAAACAGTGAGTGCTCTTTGCCATCGCGGCTATTTAACTGCAGCAAACGTGCAAATACCGGTCTATCTGGGTTCCCGAAACCATTCAGTCAGGGAGTCAGTACGGTGAACACCACTGTATGTACACGGAGATATGTCATCCCTTATAGGACCGTTTCTGACGGCTAAAATGAGCTTCTCGGTCAGACTCAGCACTGAAGAGTGACGCGCTCCACTCACTTCACTCCTATTGGTTGTCGCTCGCGAAAATCGCTCTTCATTTGCATAAAGTTAAACATTTCTCAACTTTGTCGCGTCGCTGGACACGCCCCACCGGTCGCCAGAAGTTGCCCGCTCACCATTGATAATGAATGGTATCGTGTCGCTTGTAGTGTGAACGCAGCTTAAGTCTTGTTGCTTCACATTATGCCACAAATACTGTCAGTAGAGCTTAAAATAAAGTACACCCCATAATTACCATTCTGTCTTCATTTACCGTGCCAAACCTCTATGACTTACTTTCTTCTGTAGAACACAAAAGACGACATTTTGAAGAGCACTGGGAACCAAACAATATCAAACCACTTTTCAGTGTTCTTCCTCAAAATATCTTCATTTTTCACAGAAGAAAGTAATACAGTTTTAAACATGGATCATGCATTTTACATATGTTCAGGCTTTTATCCAAACTCTAGTAGCACAGAAGTGACGTCTAGTTCACTAGGGCTGGAAAAAAGTTCTTAATATAGACTAGATAATGTCATTGATGTAAATGTGATAAATGAAAGCATGTGAAGTGAAAGTAGCTGAACTGTGTTTGTGTGTCTGTAGTGTCCGAGACGTTCAAACTGAGACTGATGGAGGAGTTTCGGGATCTGAATGAAGAGATATCACCCGGTCGAAGACAACTACTGAATGATGTCTTCATCGAGCGGCACATCACAGAGGAGCCAGATTCTCACATCAATAATAATAAAGAAATCATAAGCATTTTCCAAAGCCAGAAAATCAGGACCGTTTTGATGAAGGGTGAAGCTGGCATTGGCAAAACCGTGGCTGTGCAGAAGTTCGTCCTGGACTGGGCTGAAGAGAAATTAAACCATGACATCGAATATATATTTCCAATCCCTTTCCAGAAGCTGAACATCATCAGAGAGACGGGGAAGGAGGTCAGCTTCATGGAGCTTCTGCAGCGATGCTGTGAAAACACCGCACATCTGAATCCTGAGTCTAGGGTCATGCTGATCTTTGATGGACTGAACGAGTTTAAAGTTCCTCTAGATTTCCAAACCACAAAGAAGATTAAAGATCCAATCACGAAAGCCTCAGTCTCTGATCTACTGACAAACCTCATCATGGGAAATCTGCTTCCAAACGCTCGGATCTGGATCACCAGCAGACCGGCAGCAGCCAATCAGATTCCTGCGCGGTTTATTGATCGTGTGACAGAGATCCAGGGCTTTAATGATGGACAGAAGGAGGAGTATTTCAGAAAGAGCATTAGTGACCGGAGTATGGCCGATAAAGTCATCAGTCACATCCAGAAATCTCCACGCATCAACAGCATGTGTTATTCACCAGATTACTGCAGAATCATCGCAGCGATGCCAGAGGAAGTGTTCAGAACAGACGAGACGGGTTCAGAGACTCTCACTCAGATGTACAGCAGACTCCTGTTAGCTCAGACTGAACTGAATCCAGAGAGAAGAGACACCATCATCGCTCTGGGGAAAACAGCCTTTGACCTGCTGGTGAAGGCCAACTCTCTCTTCAGTGCTGAGGATTATGAACTCAGTGCTGAACGTCTGAAAGCAAGCTCATCAATCATTAAAGTGATCGATGAAAAAAGAAAGTCCTTCTGTTTCGTGAATCGCCGAACACAGGAGTTTCTGGCCGCTGTGTATGCGACTGATGTCATTAATGGAGGAAACCCACTCCGGCTCAGAGATCTCTCCAGTCTGAAACTTGAGCTCGGAGAGAAGAGCTTCACAGACTACGGTTCACTCCAGAACGTGATGAACGTCGCTTTACAGAAACAGATGGAGCTCTTCTTCTGCTTCTTAATGGGATTCAGACTGGAGTCCACTCAGATTGCTTTAAAAGAGCTCCTGACACAGAGAAGCAGCAACTCTTCATCCAGTATAGAAATAATTCAACACATCAAAACTATGATGATGAAGTCCTCTTCAGAAACGGCAGTGGACGGCAGTCTCCTGTTGGACTGTTTGAAAGAGCTGGATGAGCGTTGTCTAATCCAGGAGATGAAGACACAGCTGAAATCTGGACTCGGACTCTCTCCTGATGACATCTCAGCTCTGATGACTGTGCTGCTGAACCCAGAAGAGATTATATCACATCCATCAGAAGAACTGAAGCCTCGACCAGTGCTCAAAACACCTGCAGAACATGAGTAAGTACATGCATATGCGCTGTGAAATAATAACTATCCTTTAACTGTCTAAATCAGGGTTCCTCAAACTCAGACTCAATTTCAGATTTCCATCTGAAAAGTCAGCTCCTAGTGGTTGAGCTGTCGTAACTCTTGTCAGTCGAAGGTTGTGTAAGGATGAGTTGATTGAGATAATAGAAAAGCACTGGTTGCATGTATTCCAGCCATTCACAAAACACAGAATACATGCAGCCGTCCCTCTCGAAACAGCTCTATCTCCAGCCCTGTATAAGGATAGGGACACCTATGCCTATTGGAGGGTGGACGGGGAATACATTTTACATTATACCTGAATGCAGGATATATCAGTGTCTCAAAGCTTGTGCTGATCTGAGTTCTTGTTTACAAGTGATTTGTCTTATACTTTTGTAGGCATGTGTGTTTCATGTGTTTTCTTCACACTCACAGATCGAGGTCTTGTGGTATCAGTGATGGAGGTTGTGCTGATCTGAGTTCAGCTCTGAGATCAAACCCGTCCCTTCTGAGAGAGCTGGACCTGAGTGAGAACAACATCACAGATTCAGAAATGAAACAGCTTTCAGATCTACTGAAACATCCTCAGTGTAAACTGGAGAAACTGGAGTGAGTGGTATTGTTATTGGTCATGAGTTTTTCACAAGGAATACTTTTGCTGTATATATTTTGCTGTGAAAAAGAGTAAAGAGTGGTAGGACAGTTGTGAGTGGGTCTCCAAGCTTGGTGTACTGTTATACTTGGTATAAGGGATGATACTAGTATGGAATGATATACTGGTTTAACCCTCTGATGGTCCTCGGTCACTTCTGACCGAATAATTTTCTGTTTTGAATTTCGTAAAAAAAATAGTCACGATTTTGGTCTTTGGTCAAAAATGACTCCCATAGGAAATGAATGGGAAATTGACAAACACAAAAATTCACAATTTTTTTATTAATTTTTTTTAACAATTTAAAAAAAAAAATAGTTTTCGATATTTCAATTATTTTGAGGTTTCAATTATATATTCAAATCCACCAAAAAAATGTGTTCATAAACAGCTGGGGACTTCACATGCCATCTGTACATGTCATCTAGTGGTTACACCATGACTCTACGCTTTTTCTCTATACTGTAACCAGATGGTGCTAATTTTCTTCAAAAAAATATTTTTTTTTCTGAAGGCCTAGTCTATATTAAACAAAAATACTGCATTAATAATTTTTTGAAAAAAATAATATATATATATATATATATATATTTCCATTGAAAAAATAGAGCATAAATATTAATAAATTCAATCGAATTGTCTCAAAATTCTAAATTAAAAAGAATAAATATTATAGAACAAAAATAAATTGTATTGGTTTTACTGGGATGGAAGAAGTTTCATTTTTAGGCCTCCGGTAACTTCTGACCGGGAAGGCCCAGGACGTGACTCCTAAAGAAAGACCATCAGAGGGTTAAAGGGGGAAATGTCATGAAACTTTCCACAAATCTGCTGCAGTCCATGAAGTGATATGTGTGTGTGTATATATATATATATATATATATATATATATACACACACACACACACACACACGTATAACATTTAAAAAAATGATACCAGTAACAATAAATTATGACTAATGTTTGAAACAGCTGTTTTAATATCTTCATAATCCATAGGTCTGAAATTGACCATTTCATATTTAGGGAACTTATGTCTCTATAATACCTTTCAATAATTGTTTTTAATAATTAACTGATTCTCATTGTATTCTGACTTTAATATATTTTTTATTTCTCGCACTCACAGGTTGAGATCTTGTGCTATCAGTGATGGAGGTTGTGCTGAATTGAGTTCAGCTCTGAGATCAAACCCATCTCTTAGAGAGCTGGACCTGAGTGGGAACACCCTTACAGAATCAGGAGTGATGCAGCTTTCAGATCTACTGGAACATCCTCAGTGTAAACTGGAGAAACTGGAGTAAGTGGTATTGTGCATATTGTATAATATAATAACCAGTGCTGTCAAACGATTGAAATATTTATGTTATAGTTTATTAATGTCATAGTTAACTTGCGATTAATCGCACAATTTTATCTATTCTAAATGTCTCTTGATTTCTTTTCGTCCAAAACAAAAAACAAACAAAAATAACGACTTTAGTCAACTATTAATTTCCTTCCCTGTACGGCCGTGATATTTCACGTAGTGAAACTACGCAAAGCTTCTGTTGTACGTCACACGCATCACACACATTACCAGCGTCGGCCAATAGTGAGCCTTCGTGAAATATCACGGCCAACGGAGAAGGAAATGAATAGTTGAAATAAAGTCATTATTTTTGTTTGTTTTTTGCGCACAGAAAGTATTCTTGTTGCTTGATAAAGTTGAGGTTGAGCCACTGTAGTCACTCTGACTAATTTCACGATGTCTTTCATAACTTTGGGCCGGCCAGTTTCGATCCCTTAGCCAATAGAGGAGTGATCCTGCTCTCAGATTTAATCAAAAATATCTTAATTTGTGTTCCGAAGAAGAACGAAGGTCTTACAAGTTTGAACAACATGAGGGAGAGTCATTACTGACAGAGTTTACAGTTTACAGGGGTGAACTAACCCTTTAACCTACTACTTGGCCGGCTCGCAAGCCTAACAAGTGTGTGCGGAGTCGTGCTCGTGCCTGTTGTTTTGTTTCCGGTCTAGCTAGATCTGCTTGCGCTTTGGTCGACCAAGCAACAAAACGTCCTCGCGTAGCGCAAGCCATTGAAATTAATGGGTCTCATAGCGCAGCGCCGCGTCCTGCTGCAAAAGCATGTGAAAAAAAACTACAAAGTTTGCTAGGCCAAAAAAAAAAGATTAATCTCGCGCTAAAAAATGTAACGGCGTTAAAATGGGTTTGCGTTAACGCCGTTACTAACGCGTTAAACTGACAACCCTAATAATAACACACTCTATCACTGTTCAATGTATTTTTAATTTAATTGAAGTTCAATAATAAAATGTTGAAACAACAAAATAAAATGTTTTAATTGTGGGCCATGAACTGAAGATGCGTAGATATTGTTATGCGTTGGCACTTTTATTATTCTTCCAATTCTTCTTCTTCTGCTCTGGGAGTCTATGGCCGCCCATAGAACCGCTTGCAGCAAAGTTATGAAATTTGGCACGCAGATATAATGAAATTAAAGTTAATTTGTCAAACCGTTTTCAGATAACTCGAAAAAGAATTTGATGAGGAGCACGCCAAAATAAACGTGAAGGTTTATCTCAGAAACTCTTAAGTGTATTGTGACCAAACTTGGTGTGTGTTATGACAACCATGAACTTAGGCTACCTGGCCAGTTTTATCACAGTGCCACCTAGTGGTCAGGAGATGTGAGAATTTAATTCATCTGATTTAATTTCCGATACGCCATCTTGGGTTTTCTGAAAAATATACTTTTTGTAACTCCTCATAGGCCATTTGTCTGATTCACTCAACTCGACATGCACCATCTAGAGACCTTCATGGAAAAAAGTTGTTAAAAGAATTTCGATCTGTGATTCACGCTCGCGACGGGACATTAAAACTTTTGAATTAAGCTGGGCTACTTTCACTAAAATGGCTGGAACTCTTGAACACAATGAGATATATTCACAGTTTGGTTCATTTGCAATAAAAAAATATTATTGCGATTATGCAACCCTATAATTATGCAACCCTTCGTCCGATTGTCTTAAAAATTAAATTGGCTTGCAGTGTCTTTGTCCAAGTTGCCATAATGATTTACAAGGATATTCGTGTATCGTGAAAAAACTGCCATTGGCCAGTAAAGTTTGAGCACCAGCTTAATAGTGGCCGATCGGACTGAAACTTGGTGGGCCTGTTTTCCCCAAGGGGGTAATCCACCAGCCGGAAACTGAAGCTTCGCTTGGGCACCACATTGTAGCAGAGTGTCCCATTGTAGAGAGATTACCGTATGGACAGGAGGAGAAACTCGTAGTCTTTTACGGTGTATGAGGCAATCGTGTTTCACATGTACACACACGAGGACGAAAGTGTTTTCTGCGCTGAACAACATGATGAGTTTAACAACACTTGCAGCATAAATATTAGTATTGAAATTTTATGTCATGGGCTTACTGTCAAATAAAATAATTTAGAAAATTAATTATTTGTTGTTATATCAAACCTTTGGTTAAGATTAAGGTTTTTTTTATCTTTAATTTCTTTAAATTTGTTCTGCCGTGTCTGGGTAAATTAGTTGAGGCAGCAGACAAGAACTCAGTATTCTTCACTTTATTTCAACAGCCATTAGATAATGTACCATAAGTTGTATTGTGTGCAATTAAACTTATATGTCTTTCATACTATGACAAGGAAAACACTGTGTCTAAAGAGGTCTAAAGCCTCCCACCCCACCCCACATTCATGCTTTAAAATGATTTTGGTGGGTCTTGAGATAGATTATTCTTATCTAGGTGGGTCCTGGAATGGAAAAGTTTGGGAACCCTGATCTAGAGAGCCTCACGGCAAAAAGTTATCAAAATAATTTTGGGTAACACTTTATAATAACGGCATGCTAAGTAAGCCATAAGGTTCGAGAGGCTGTGCTGATCGGGGATCAGTGACGGCTGAAGGGCGAGCGGAGTAGTTAACTTATTCACGATACAGCACAACCTCGAGTACCTTATTGCTTTTATAAAACGGTTACCACACAATACAAATATTAAAGGAAAAAAAATATCTATTAGTGCAACTTTCATGAAGTAAAATCAATAAAAGCCTTCCTTCCGCTAGAAAAAATAGTCCCTGAGCGTGAACAGCAACAACGCCCCAATGTGTAAAATGCATGAAGCTCAAATAAACACGACACCCGCAGCGATCAATAGAGCCGTTGGGTGAAGCGGCCATAGCCGTGTTTATCGTGAATAAAGCACAGCTCTTGACCAATCAGAATCAAGGATTCGAACTAACCATTTTATAAAAATCATTAGTTTAACATTAGTAAATATGAATGCTTTGTAAATTAGAAATTAACTAGACATTATGCAGTTTATAGATGCATAAGCATATCTATAATGTGTTTAATTGTATTTTCATACTTTTTTTAATGATCAATTTATCATTTCTAAATTAACTATTACATAATTTACAATCCAGTTACATAGGAGTTGTTGGTGGTTCATAAGATCATTTAGAAAGTGTAAGTAAATCATTAAAAAACGATTTAAATGTACATCTTATTTAGATGTAGTAATAGTTACTCAGTGTGTGAATAAATGCTTTATTAATTTCTACTGTAATTCATGATTAATTCAGGCAGTTATACAACATTTAGTAGTTTTTTGTGAGCTCATCTAATGTGAGGACTAGTTTTGCCTCAAAGCTTTTACAAAGGAGAATTAAAGGCTCAGTGCTCTTTTAAAACGAAAAAGGAAACAAACACAGACTGATACTGAAGAACATGTAAATATTTACTTCAAGATGATATAAATGAAACTGTACACTTGATATAACATGAAAACTAACGCAGAATGCTAAACACATTTTTGTTAACTCAGCCAGTTTGGTCACAATTATAGCATATGAAAGCTAAATAAAATATGATTATGTGAACGATATAATTTATGCAGTAAATGCAGAACAATGGTCAGGTGTTTTTAAACGTACATGACAGACGTCTCTACCCGCACCTCTCTGCGATTGGCTGCCACCAGGCGGTTTATAGTTTGCAGGTAAAAACAAAGTCAGACACAAATGAATAATAAACACAAGTTAAAGTTTATTTATTCTTTGTTTGTCTTATTTAACAGCTGTTTATGATTTAACTGCTGATTTGGTAGAGAAGTAGAGACACCTCACTGCTCATGTTTCCTTTATTTTTGGTTGAATAAGTCCTTTAAGTATTTAAATTAAACATTGTATTTGCTTTATTTTTTACAGTTTAATTAAAAAAAATGTAATAAAAAATAGTAATTCACAGCTCCAGCTAGCACTAATACCGGTGTCACCAATTTGAATGTAGATACTATATTGTGTACATTTGGCAGTCTAATCACACACACACTTTGAGTGAGTTTGTCATCGTCTTATCACTTTATTCATTGAACACAGGTTGAGGTCTTGTGGTATCAGTGACAGAGGTTGTGCTGTTCTGAGTTCAGCTCTGAGATTAAACCCGTCTCTGAGAGAGCTGGACCTGAGTGGGAACAACATCAATGAGTTGGGAGTGAAGATCGTTTCAGATCTACTGGCGGATCCTCAGTGTAAACTGGAGAAACTGGGGTGAGTTTATTTGATATATTTGTTTGAATGAAGACCAAGTGAACCTGTTAGTGATGCTCAACAAGTAGGTTATTTTTATTTCCCCCTTTCTTCACACACACAGGTTGAGATCTTATCATATCAGTGACGGAGGTTGTGCTGTTCTGAGTTCAGCTCTGAGATCAAACCCATCTCTGAGAGAGCTGGACCTGAGTGAGAGCACCTTTCAATATTCAGGAGTGATGCAGATTTCAGATCTACTGAAACATCCTCAGTGTAAACTGGAGAAACTGGGGTGAGTTGAGTAATTGAGAGCCTGTCAGGCCTAGATTGAATCAACATTTATTTTTATTTAGAGCTCGGGGTCAGTAACCCGTGAAACACATGCCAATATCAGCACACAGAGGGTTAATCACTGGCATATGAGTAATAGTGAGAGAACTGTACTGTATTCATTTAGATATACATTTCGAGTTAATCTTTCCTCATAGGCACACAGCCGAACTTGACTTGTGAGCTATAAATACTATTTAGCTCTCTGGGTTTGAGAAAAGCACAATATAAATAAAATGTATCGTCATCATCATTAAAGTGTGTGAGTTAACCTGTTAGTCAGCAGAAGCGAGCAGTTCTGAGAGTGTTTCCCAATCCCAATCCCAGAGTTCCTCAGCACATGAATCAAACAGACCTGATCAGCTCATCAGTAAAGACTCCAAGGCCTCACATGAGTGTGTCAGATTAGAGGAGCAGACGGTGTGCAGTGTTTGGGCTCCAGGACCAGGATTGGGACTAAATGTGACCAACCGTTTCCACCTGCACGTCATCTTCAGTCACACACACCAGCTCGTCGTCATCATTATGCCCTCACCTCACCCCAGCTCTTGGTCCGAGCTCGTTTTCGTTCATGCCATGTGGACTATCCCCCTGTCTCTAGAGAGCTCTCGGTCATCAATAAATCACTGTTCGTCATCAATCTTCACACCGTAACAATTTGTTCATCTTTGTGAACGTTAGTTAATAAAAATACAGCTGTTCTTGTTAGTTCACAGTGCATTAACTAATGTTAACAAATACAACTTTTGATTTTAATAATGTATTAGTAAATGTTGAAATTAACATTAACAAAGATTAATAAATCCTGTATAACTGCAGTTCAGTATTAGTTCATGTTAACTAATAAAACCTTATTGTAAAGTTTTAACGTTTTCCCTGTACTTTTCTAGACGTTAAGTATTTAATGTGTTTTCTTCACACACACAGGTTGAGATCTTGTTGTGTCTGGGATGGAGCTTGGGCTTACCTGACTAAAGCTCTGAGGTCAACCCTGTCTCTGAGAGCGCTGGACCTCAGTGAGAACAGCATCACAGATTCAGGAGTGAAGCAGATTTCAGCTCTACTGGCAGATCGTCAGGGTAAACTGGAGAAACTGGGGTGAGTGGTATTGGCTTTATCTGATATATTGGTTTTAGTAAAGATTGGAAGTGCCCATGATAACCACCAGAGGGCACTGTCTCCTGTAGTGCTTTCCCATCATGAACTACACTTCCCATAACCCCCTGCCTGGACTCATGTTCTGATCACTGCCACCTCATTTATGGTTGCCTATTTAAACCCTGTTCACTCAGTCATTAATTGCGAAGTCTTGTTTAATGTCACTGCAATACTGAGCGTTATCCTGGATCCAGGGATTAAAGTTCTCCGTCGCTACCACGGATTTCCGTTAATTGCAGCGAGTCTATGACGGATATCCGTCAATTGCAGGGTTCCCGTCTGTCCTTATGTCTTAAATTAACTTTTCATAATTTTAAGGCCGTAAATAGGCTTTCATTTCGCAAACAGTGTGATCAATGTCTTAATTTTAGTTGGAATAGGTCTCAAATTAAGGAGAGATGATGCGTATTCACCCTGCTGAGGGGGGATGTGATAAAGCCTGGAGTGGAGCGAAAGCATGTTCCTCTCTCCACTCTAAGCATTCTGTAGTCACTTTGCTCATGGTCCACTCCGGTTTTTCAATTCCCGCTCACGGAAAAACTGCTCCCTGGACCCTGTTCACTCAATCTTGTCAGGCGAGGCTACAGATCGTTTGCTGCGGTCCCATTATAGAAAACAGAACGCGGGTCAATATTGATCGTTTCTCGATACCAGGTACGCAAACTTCGGACTTGCGTCCTTGGTAGTTCGGACTTGCCAAGTTCGACTCGGGAGAACAAACTCCCGAGGACGCTGCTAACAGCGCGTTCTTGATCGCGTCACTCAGCACGCGGCTACTCCGGTTATCAACTCTGCCGTTTTTCATCAACACCACTCTGCCTCTTTTCATTTATAAATGAACATAATTATTATCATAAATGTATAAATGGCCACACAAATGTGGTTCAGGCAACGCACATTGATTATCATATATTTATAACAACACGAAATATAGCTAAAACACAAACCTGCTTCTTTTTGTTTTCATTTGAAAAATATGAAACATTATTTATCATTAAAACTGACATTTAACAAACAGACAGGGTTGTATCGTTTTATTGTATTATGCGTACACATACAGTGAAGAGAATGCATAGTAATATAATATTTTATATATTTTAGAATATATAAAATTACACAACCATGTCTCTTTTTTGTTAAATGTCAGTTTTAATGCTAATATCCCGTTCAAAAGTATAAGTAGCCTAATAGGTAGGCTATAATAAGCTATACAATGAGAAATAAAGCAAACAATTCAGTTAAACATAAGTCAGCTCTCTAATAGGCTACAAAGTTAAAGTTAAATAGCCTACATAATAAAGTTATAAAACTTCACTTTGCCCTCAGCCAAAACAATTTGCCATGGCACAAATTATATATTAATATAGTTTAGCATTGTTTGGTCTCATAAGATAAATAAAAACATGCACTGAAAAGTTATGTATATGGTTGATTACTGTATTTGTCAAGATAAGTAATTGTTTTTCATAGATTAACCCTCTGAGACCTAAGGGTATTTTTACAATTAATTTTCCGTCTGGTGTTATTTACTAAAAAAGCTTGTAAAACATCAACCCTTTGGTGCACAGGCAATTGACACAGCTATTTTTTTTTCAGGACAAATTGAACTTTTAGCATATTTGTGTTGCATTGATTTCACCTGAATGTAAAATAAGTTATGGGACCATAAAGACAAATGAAAAAATAAATCGGAAATTGAATCACTCAAATATTTGTTAATCACACACAAATAAATAAAAGCTAAGCAAATTTCCTCTGGAAAATAGTTTTTTTTTATGTCTTTGGAGTCCTGGAGCACAGGAATAAACATTATAACTTGTACAGAACAAAAACTATTGACATTTTTCCAAAAGAAGTCCAGGCGTTTGGGGCCTCATGAAATTCACTGGTGCCAAGCCTCAAAACAGTTCCTATCAGCAATCACACAGAGGGCCACATCACAGGTTTTGCATTTCTATTTTATTTATTCTTTCATTTATTATGTTCTTTTTATTCTTTTATAATACATTTATACTATTATAATACTTTTTTACAGTAAATAAATAAATGGCACTTCAGCTGGGTCTATCCTGGTAATCTAGTTCCTCATCTGTCAAAAAGCTCTGTTCTCCTGAAAATCCTTCATCCTGCAATGCACCAAAATAGACCAGCGCTTTATTTACGTCCATTTCTCTGTGTTTCTCTGTGAATCGTGAGTCTCTCTATCTCTCTACACTATATCAGCGCTTGGTTCATGCGTAATGACGCACACCAATGTTTACGACGGATCAGCCTGTAATTGGTCAAAAACCATCACGTGAAAAGATCACGTGATATCCAGAATGGCCGCTAGCATCGAGCTAGCGGCAAAAATGACGGAATATTCATGAATTATGGAGTTCAAGAGTATCAGAGTTAGACATAAAGCGTTTGGATTTATTGCTGAAAACCTCTGAAAGGAAGCACAAGTTCCAGGCTGGATCGAAAACCTTCTGTAAAGGCTAGAAAGACACCCCCGTGATGGCTAGCTCGTTAGCTTTCTGCTGGAAAAAAACGGTAAGAAAATCAACAAATCTGTCATCGAGTTATGTAAACATTTATCGGAGGTGACGTGTGGCGTCGTCGACGATGCCGTCGGTCTCAGAGGGTTAAAATAGCTTTTAAATTACGCAAACTGGCAATATTAGATCGGTTTTAAACATTTCCCCTTAAAACGCTATTGGTCTCGACTATTTAAATAAAGTTATAGGAATATGACTTGGCCTGAAAAAAATTTCAGTCAGAAGAATTTTTTTCACTTTGATCCCTGTGTGTTGGCTTTGATCTTCTGCTTGTCTCCTGGATTTCCCTGTGTGTTGGACCTTGTTTCACAGGTTGAGATCTTGTGGTATCAGTGACGGAGGTTGTGCTGATCTGAGTTCAGCTCTAAGATCAAACCCATCTCATCTGAGAGAGCTGGACCTGAGTGAGAACAACATCACAGATTCAGGAGTGAAGCAGCTTTCAGATCTACTGAAGCATCCTCAGTGTAAACTGGAGAAACTGAGGTGAGTGTCATTGGCTTTATTTCATATATGTGTTTCAGTAAAGACTGAAAGTACCATCATCTTTAGTTTTAGTAGTTTTTTCCCATACATTTGTTCTAGACATCAGTATTTAATGTGTTTTCGCCACACTCACAGGATGAGATCTTGTTATGTCAGTAACCGAGGTTGTGCTGATCTGAGTTCAGCTCTGAGATCAAACCCGTCTCATCTGAGAGAGCTGGACCTGAGTGGGAATGTCATTACAGCATCAGGAATAAAGCAGCTTTCAGATCAACTAGAAGATCCTCTGTATATACTGGAGAAACTGGGGTACGTTTCTAATTCTGACATTGTAAATCCATGCATGCTGACACTTGTTGACATGTTCTATAAGGTGTAGATGACCAATAATTAACCCTACAATAGTCAAATCATACTTAAATTGTGCACTACCAAAGCTCATACTTAAATTGTGCACTAGCAAAGCTTATTTGGTTAAAAAAAAAAGCAAGATCGTAAAAATCATGTGATTTTTGCATGTGTTTGTACTTTTGTTACTGTAAAACATAAAAATATAACTGAAATGAGCTAAAGGCATTACATTAGGGTGTAATTTACATTATATTTTACTATTAAATTATATAAATGTCTTGAGAAATGCTGCATGAAGAGTGCTAAACTCTTAAGATCATGAGTGATCCCACTGAACACACATACAAAATAAATGCGCTTGTTGACTGTTTTACACAAGTGTCCACATTCAAACGTGCAGAGTAAATGTTGTAATAAAGCATAATAAATATAAACAGGACTGAACATGTGTAATATGTATATGTTTAATAGCAAATGGGAAGAAATAAACCACATAGACAGACTTGCTTGGATACTCTAATAGTTGATAAAGACTCGTAAATGTAATAACTGTACATCTTTATGTCTGTGTCTGATTCTCACTGTGTTCTGACTGAAAGGGTTCATCTGTTTCTCAGACACTCATTGGTTGAGCTCAAACCCGTCTCATCTGAGAGAGCTGGAGCTGAGTGAGAATAATATCAGAGACTCAGGAGTGAAGCAGCTTTCACATATACTGGAGGATCCTCAGTGCCATTATTCTGCTGCTGTGTGGTTGTTTTCAAGAAACTTAAGGGATGTCAAGAACAGATTTATTTTTCATGAAAAACAGTGACGACACCCAGATCTCTGCAGAAATAACGTACTATACATCTCTCAGTCTCTGTGTATGATACTCGTTTACATAGCATTTCAAATATAAATATAAAACAATTGGGATTCATCTAGCTTATTTTACCAGCAGGGCTTGTTAAGTTCTCTTATCCCTCTCTCAGCCTAATTTTACTATTCTGTGCTCAACGAATTAGATGTTTCATATTTACAGCTCTTATCCACAATTCTAAAAACTCCTGAATTATACAGTATACAGCATACCATGAATATGTTAAGACATAACACCTAAACCTACGAAAATATCAAAATGATTAATTAATTTCAGTACATCAGACTAGACTTGTATATGTTCTGAAGGAAATGTGAGGAGTGCTCACTCGAGCAAAACTGAGTTTAATCACAGTTCAACTATTCTGAATATAAATGCTCAAATTCACAATTGCATATTTGCAATATAATCCACACCTGTATGTTAAATAGATATAGCACTGTAAAATTAGTTTTAGTTTTGTACTCTTGCTTCAAAAATGTACAGAAATGTGCCTTATCTTTTGTGATAACTGTTGAGACTGTTTATGTGACTTTGATTTAGACTTTAGAAATATAACTCGGATCTGTTTCTACACTTGGATGGTGTTTGCCAGAATTGCCTGTTCGTAGTTCTAGAGATTATCATATTATGCATGATGTGACTGTTATCTGTTCTGTCCCAAACCATTAAATTCATCACGTAAATGTTTTTCTGCAGCTCAGTTCTGATATTTTGACTAATTCTGTAGGATCATTTGCGTTTTTTTAACAAGTGGTTTTATCATAGCTAGCTTAAAGGTTTTTGGTACGTATCCTAGCAACAAAGACGAATTAATGATATTAAGAAGAGGATCTATGACCTCTGGAAGCATTTCTTTCAGTAGTTTAGTCAGTATAGGGTCTAGCATACAAGTTGTTGATTTAGATGAATTAACGAGTTTGCAAAATTCTTCCTCTCCTATAGCAGCAAATGAAACAAATCTTTCCTCAGAGAGACAACAATGCACCCCCTGATGCGATACTGTAGTAGACAGTTGCATAGTTATAATTTTGTCCCTGATATTATCAATCTTATAAGTGAAGAAATTCATAAAGTCATTACTGCTGTGTTGCTTGAACACTTCTGGGCTTGAAGCTTTCTTTTTCGTTAGTTTAGCCACTGTTTCAAATAAATACCTATGATTATGTTTATTTTCTTCTAATAGGTTTGAAAAATAAGCAGATCTAGCAGCTTTTAAGGCCTCTCTGTATGCAATCGAGCTCTCCTTCCATGAGATCCGGAGTACCTCTAGTTTAGTTTTCTTCCAGCTACGCTCCATTTTTCTGGCTGCTTTCTTAAGGGCCCGAGTGTGCTCGTTATACCACGGCGTTGGACTATTTTCTTTAATCTTCTTTAAGCGCAACGGAGCAACTGCGTCTAAAGTGCTGGAAAAGAGAGAGTTAATAGTTTCTGTCACAATATCTAAGCTATCCGGTATGCTGAGATGATTAAAGGGGGGGTTTCCTGCTTTTTTTCTTTGCATGATTGTGTTTATGGGGTGCAATATAACATGTATTCGTGGTTTTTCTTTTTTTAAAAGTCTTATTTTTCATAAACTTCACCTTTATTGTCAGCCGCGCTCTCCTCTGTCCTCGAACGAGTGGTTCACTTCCTGAGTCTATGAAAACACTCCCTCAGAAACACGCAGTGGGCTCATATTGGTTAGTTTGGCCCAGTGTGTTGTGATTGGCTAAACTGTCGCTCACGTTGTCCGGAAGGTTAACGCCCATTACCTTTATGGGCGAAACGTGCATGTCATGAGCTGAGCTCTGGTCCAGAATGTAAATATGTGTCGAACTGCAGTATCAGTTTGAGGCAGAATCAGACCGAGAAAGCGGCGATGAAGAGAGTCAAGCAGAACCTCACCACACACGGCTCTTACTAAACGTTTCAGAATGATAATTTGCTACATTTTTTAACTTTATGCACGTTTGTTTAACACAATAGCATCTGACCTGCAACAATAGCAACTGACTGGCTACTAATGTTATACTCAAACAGCGTTGGCATGTTTACGTTCTTGATCAAATCGAAAATAACGTCATAAAGCATATATACATGAAAAATACGTTTAAAACATTAGTACTTATAGAAAATTCAGGTCCATAATGTTTGTACGCGTTTGTCGTAGACACAAAATAGCATAGGCTAACTAGTAGTGGCTATAAAGCCAGCGCTGGCATTTGAAAAAAATAAAACACAAGGCTACGTCTGGAATTATACATGCAAGTACATTTAAAATGATGAAGTCTTAGCCTACTTACAGGTTGTGGCCCAACAACTGCTGCCTCTGGTTTTAAAGTTGGAACTGCTTCATGTTTTAGTAACAGTTTCTTGTTGAATCCGGTGTTGAACTCGTGGAGATTCTGGAAGCTGTCTTCCGTAAATGCGCAGCACAGAGAGCTAGATTACGATCGTCACTTTCAGGAACATAATCAAACATAAATTGTATCCATTGTTGACGAAGTACAGCGTCCGTGGGAAGCTCGAACACAGAAGACCTGACAGTTGCGTGAACACAACACACTCGACGTGTCTCAGAAATATGCGTATGCCCTTTTCTGCATATTCTAGGGGAGGGGTTGATGCAAATGTGTGGGTTAGTGACGTACCATAATCCAACTGTAGTCCCAATCGAGTCGTTTTTGTAGGCAATATACTTCCTGATTTTTTTAAAAGACGATATCTCTTCTTACACTGCACTTTCAGCGTTGCAACTTTGCAGATACTGTTCATGCCCCAACAGCAACATTACACACTATTTAAAATGAAAAAAGTGAAATCGCAGTCAACCCCCCCTTTAAACTGATTAGGAAGATTCTAACATATTTATAACACGGAGTCGGCTTTGCTGCTTTGGCGAAGTGAAGTTTACATGAGATTAGATAGTGATCTGAGATGTCATCGCTCTGCTGCAGAATTTCAGCGGCATCAACATCTATTCCATGTGATAATATTAGATCAACGACAATGAGTGGGTCCTAACACAGCCAGGACTAATTCTGATAGAAAGTCCGCAAATTCTTTGATAAAATCTTTATGGTACCCTGGTGGCCTGTATACAGTAGCCAGCAGAATTCTCAAACGTGATTTATCATTTACACTATATATTTTTACACTAAGCACCAATACTTCAAAAGAAGTATATTTAAAACCAGATTTCTTAGTGGTTTTGACTTGAGGATATTACTATAAATGACAGCAACACCTCCCCCTTTGCCTTTCAGACGAGGTTCATGTTTATAACTGTAATCTTGTGGGGTGGACTCATTTAAAGTAATGTAATCGTTTGTTTTTAGTCAGGTTTCTGTCAAACACATTACATCTAGATTATAATAATCTGAAATCATATAATTAACTCTGAGCGATTTTGAAGTAAGGGATCTGATATTCAGCAACCCAAGCTTTAGCATTTGCTCATCATTCTGTATTATATCTGTTTTTTATTTGTTGAATATTAATTCAATTTTCAATCTGACGTTTTTTGGATATCCAAATTCGGGGAACAGACACAGTCTCTATATGATATATAGGTGAAAGAGGCTCTATGTGATGGGATTTATCTGACCTTGGTGACGCGAGGCCGCTAGCAGACGTTCGGTTTAGACAGTCTGTCTGCTTCCTGACCTGAGCCCCAGACTGGCATGTTTGAGCTCTAAGACGATGAGCCAAATTACTAGAGAGAAGAGCAGCACCAGCCCAGGAGGGATGAATACCATCTCTTTTCAACAGGTCAGGCTTTCCCCAAAACTTTTCCAATTGTCTATAAATTCTACATTATTTTGCGGACACCACTCAAGACAGCCAGCGATTAAGTGAGAACAGTCGACTAACTATCTCATCACTCCTGTGAACAGGAAGGGGGCCAGAGCATATTACAGTGCCTGACATCGTACTTGCGAGTTCACACACCTCTTTAATATTAATTTTGGTGATCTCCGACTGGCGAAGTCAAACATCATTTGTGAATAATGATTTTAGAGAATTTACGATTAGCATTAGCCAGCACTTTTAAATTTGCTGTGATATCAGGCGCACTGGCTCCCGGCAAACATGTGACTATGGTTGCTGGTGTCTCTATTTTCACGTTCCGTGTGATCGAATCACCAATTACCAGGGCACAATCAACAGGATTCTCAGTGGGTGTTTCACTGAGTGGGGCAAATCGATTTGTTATGGGAAGCGGAATGGAAGAGTTAGTATCAGTGTTTCAAAAGACCTAGTCCCCACTTTAGTTGAGGGGTCACACACATGATGAAGTCATTGATAGATAATGCTTAGTTAATGATGACTACTGTATTTGAATGTCAACAGAATGTGCTGTGATTGGTCTATTTTGGGGTCTGTCCAATACAGTAGTCATCATTATCTAAGCATATCTATCAATGACATGATCATGTGTGGCCGTTAAAAGAGCACATGAACTTCAATTCAAGTCACTTTTTTGATAGCACACTTGTAATTTTACTGAAGTCTGGGTCTCTAGAACTTCTCTGCCCTTACCTGTAGATGAAAGATGTTCGATGTTGGTTCGGGGTCATCAGCAGTGCCTCTCACCAGTTCAATCTCGGATTCAAATGCACAGTGCATTTGCAAAAATTAATATATCGTTACAAAAAATTATGAAATATTGATAGGAAAAGATTACTCTGAGACTTGTTTAAAATGTTTTACGAATCACCACAATGTGATTTCTCTTTATTTAAAAAGATAAGGAGAAATCCAAAGACAAAAAATCCAAAGGCACACATAACATGAACACGTATTCACCCCAAAAATGTGGCTCAGAGAAAAAGGCGATGAAGCTTTTTATTACAATTCTCGTTATATGGCCGTCTTAAAGCTATGGGCTGTCATTATAGTGCAGCCATTCCCTTGAATGGTAAATAATTAGACTCGTACTGGTCCCTAATGCACACAACCTTGCAAAAAGCACATATTCAAAAACCTTTCCATACTTATTTTATGCAGCACAACCACACAAGCTTATTTGGTCATCTTTTCTATTAAAGGGATACTCCAGCAACTTAAGGGTGAGTAAATCATGACAGAATTTTCATTTTTGGGTGGAGTATCCACCCCTTTAATAGCCGTTGAGAACCCACCCTGACCTCTCACATTTTACAGTCAGGGCAGAAGGTGTTGAAGTGTCTCTTGCAGAATGAACAGGGCCTCAACAGCAGACATCACATCATGAAATCACATTCGGTTTTAAACAGTGACCCTTCGGTTTGCAGTTCAAGCTTGTCTTGCAAATGAAACATTTCATATTCAACCGACTCATACAACTTTTCACAGTCTTCTTTAATTTGTTCACAATTTGTTGGCCACGGCAGATCGGTCTATGTTGGGAAAATTAAGTCTCAGCAGGAGGTCCCCGCAAGCACCTTCTCTTCCTTCTTCTCAGATTTGCGAACCTTACTGCCGTGATCTCATTGCAGATATTTAACTAAAAGATCGTCCATAAAAATCTTATCTTTCACACATCATATCTCATTTCAGGGGATTTATTATTCATTTATTATAACAAGCTGTTTTATACAGCTAAAACTAACTGGAAGTGAATGACAACCTAAGCCAGACAAATGGCTGTGCCCACTCTTACCTGACATGGATAACATTTCACTGTTGCCGATTTATCATGCAGCTCAAAGTATTATGGGTAGAATATCTGTATAATCTATTCTGATTCATCAACACAGTTTCACTGATGATACAGAACCAACCCAAAACCCCGGATAGAGCGGCTGAGTGAATGTGGTCTGGACTGTGTGTATGAGGATCATTGTGTCTCTGTCGACGCTGTAGAAGGACAGAGTTCCTGCACTGGGATCCACACACACTCCTGTTCTACTGCTGATGGGCTTTACAGTGAGTTTAGTCTCTATGTTATTGTGTCTGAATGAGTAACTGTAGTCAAAGCAGTCCAAACTCCACGACTGATCATTAGATCCGAACCGACAATCATTATACTGTCCCTTCCTGCTGATGCTCTTATATGACACTGCTATATACACTTGTCCACTCCACTCAATCTCCCAGTAAGAGCGTCCACACACACTCTCTCTACACAACACCTGAAGCCCATTATGAAATCGGTCTGGATGATCAGGATACGGCTGATCTCTGTTGGTGTGAGTAATCACGCTGTTCTTCTCTGACAGAACAAGTTGTCTATTCATTGTGTTCGGATCCAGAGTGAGCTGATGATAATCTGATGGAGATAAAACACATCACAATCAGGAATTACAAATCTGTTAGATTTTTAATCTTTTCATGTTCAGTTTATCACCAGTGTCTTAGTACAGCTTACCAGATATCCTGTTGAAGTCATCATTTACATTACGTCAATTCTAAAATTGTTCACTCGGTTTAGTTTACCTCCTCCAGGAAGAACATGAACATGTTCTACGCCCTTTCACATCACCAGCAACAAAAGCGATAAGATCCCATTCATCTTAAATGAGAGCTGGTGACAGTGACATAAGCGAAAGTGGCCATTAGCAACAGGATTTAGGCGTGTTCAGCGATGCTACAAAATTGAGAAATGTTTAACTTTATGCCAACGACAAGCGATTTTTAGGAGCGACGACCAATCTTTATTTATCTTAAAATTAAATAAGAACAATAAACAGGCAGGCTTGGGTAACTCCACTGCTCAAAAATCCCACATTAAACACGTCAGTTGTAGAGAGTTACAGACCTGTATCTCTCCTACCATTCATAGCAAAAACACTTGAACGAGTTGCTTTCAAGTATCATCTTTCCTGTCTCAGATCAACCAGCTGGATGTCAACCAATCAGGCTTCAAGAAAGGGCATTCAACCGAGTCTGCATTACTGTCAGTCACAGAGCCCTGCGGATCGCTAAAGCTGCTTCCAAATCATCAGTCCTCATCCTCCTGGACCGGTCTGCTGCCTTCGACACGGTGAATCATCCGATCCTTCTGTCCACCCTCTCATCACTGGGCATCACAGGTACTTCCCTCCACTGGTTTGAGTCCTATCTCACAGGTAGGTCCTTCAGGGTCGCATGGAGAGGCGAGGTGTCCAAAGCACATCAACTGACCACAGGAGTTCCCCAGGGTTCAGTGCTTGGACCGCTCCTCTTCTCCATTTACACCACATCACTGGGTCCCATCATACAGGCAAATGGTTTCTCTCACCATTGCTATGCTGATGACACCCAGATCTACCTCTCATTTCAACCAGATGATCCCTCAGTAGCTGCATGAACCTCAAGCTGTCTGGCGGACTTCTCGTCCTCCCTGCCAATCCGTCTCTACAGCACGACTTCACTATCCAGCTAGATTCTTCTTCAATCACCCCATCAAGGTCGGTCAGAAATCTTGGAGTAACCTTTGATGACCAGCTGACCTTCTCAGACCACATTACAAAGACATGATGTACAACATCAGGAAGATCAGGCCTATCCTAACTGAGCAGGCGACAACAACTTCTCGTCCAGGCCCTGGTCATTTCTGGCTGGTCTTCCATTGTGTGCAGTTAAACCCCTACAAATGATTCAGAACACTGCAGCTCGTCTTGTCTTCATCGAGCCCAAAAGGGCCCACGTCACTCCTCTTTTTATTTTTCTGCACTGGCTACCGCTCGCATCAAGTTCAAGACATTGACGCCTGCTTACAGATCGACCACAGGCTCAGCTCCCTCTTACTTTCACTCGTTAAGTTCCGTTTTTGTTTGTTAGTTTTAGGGCTGTTTTCGACTAAGGATTTTCATAGTTGAATCTGATTCGTTAGATTTTGCCGTAGTCGACTGATAGTCGAACCTTTTTTTTTTTTAGATAGGTCAGCTATATTTTTTCCATTTCAAACAAAAGAGATGGACGTATGCGCATTAGGCTATTCGTTCTGTGTTTTCTTTTTTTCTAAACAGTTAGGCTATGTTTAGGTAGTATTTTTCATGTTTTTATCACGCAATCATGTTTTTGATGCGGTGGTGAGCTTGTAACTTGTAACTTAACACTTTAGCCTAAGGGTAGCAGCAGCGCTGCCGAAAATAAAAAGCTGTCACAAAGAACAAATATAGCAAGGAGACATTTTAATTGTTTATTAATAAAGATGAAGTTGACGATGCTGCCCGATCTTCGCATAGTGCATGCGCCAGAGAGAAATGCACAGTTCATTTCATAAGCAGAGAGCATTACGTTTTCTTTCGTTTTGAATCGTTCTATTTACAAGTAGACATTTCAATATAGATATATTTTTAAGGTCTGTGGAGTAGACTATACTTGTACGCTGAGTTGCGGTAGCTATATTTATGAGACAAGCTCCAGTTCACACATCGGTGCCTCCATGCTTTGATTATGAATAATTGTCTGCTTTTCCTTCTTATTGATTAAATCAAGACAATTGGTTAATGAAACATTAATTAAAAATCAAGAAAAATTATAAAAAAAAACGAAATTCACTTTAAAGAAAGGCTTTGTGCTTTTCTGTTTGAGGTCTGTGAAAGTTTTAAAGCAGTCTTTAAATGCTTCTCCAGAGCGCTCGTGTCCGTCGGAGAACTGTCACGTCTGTAACATTGTTTTTTCCTCTGTGAACATGAAAAGTAATATTTTGTTTTGTGGAGAGCCAACCCTACCTCATCTGATTTGAGCAGTGTAATTCACAGAATTACAAAAAGTATATTTTGCCTCCTAAAACTTAAAGATTTTTTGTCATGCATGAATGCCTGTCTATTTCAGGCTAAATATAAAACGCATGTATACTGTATTTTCTGCACTTTAAGGCGCGCCGGATTATAAGGCGCATAAGATACTGCAGTCAAACGTTTGACTGGGTTTGCGTTATGCATCCACTAGATGTGCTAAAGGGAATGTAGTGAGTGCGTGGCGCCGGAAGTGAGGCTCATATGAGTATTCAATGTGTGGCGGCTCGCTGACAGCAACGGCTGGCTGTTTTGAATGAGACGACCCGGTTACTGTGAACGGGGAGCGCTTGGTGAACATTCTGTGACGCGCGAGCAGCGCCGGGGACAGTGTGTCTGTTCGTGTGTGTGAGTGAGCGCTTGTGAGCGGGAGACACACATAACCTGATTTATACGAGGTTGAACTGGCCGTGTACTATTCGACTATAACGTTCATAGTCGAATCAGACCTCTCCGAATCGTCGAATCCTCGACTATTAGAAGTCAGCCCTAGTTAGTTTTATGTTTTGTTTTGTTGTAAATAAACTGCAATAGGTTCTCCAAGCTTGCCATCAGTGGACTGTTGTTAGAGAATACAAGACCGGCAACAATGAACCCAGTAGTTGCCCTCCTGCATCTACGCCAGGTGAATCGTCCTCTGGAGACTTACATCAAAGACTTTTGCAAAGTGGATGACCGTGTGGATTTTAATGATGTGGCTACAAAGGACATTTTTCGTTTGGGGTTAAATTAACCCATTTGTTCATGGCTCCCTGGGGGTAAGATAAACTGGTCCCTGGCAGGTTGCATCGACCATGCCCTTTCTCTGAGCAGTTTCTCGTTTACTGTGGTAAATGTGTTTGTTAGGGGCTCCACAAATCAAATTCTGGAGGCAGGGCCAGTGTCGAGCACAGAGGAGGCGAGACACGAGGCAAAAGAGACAAGATCTTAGGGAAGTGATTAATAGAAGTGTATTAGAAACATTAGTGCGACAGCACTTGGAATGCCCATGAGTGACTCATAATCTAGTGAAGTTGAGTGTCAAAGTCATTGGTGGTGTGAATGCAGCTTTAGTGACTTACATTGTAAGAGGTCGTTCCTGGTCTTAGAAACAATGTTGGTGAATGTGACTGTGGAACAAAGATGAACAGTGTGATTCTCATGAGATTCCTATGCATCTGTTCCTAAGACATTTCTATTATGATGTTCTACATGATATGAGATGATGGAGGACTCATTTCTGAGAGCAGATGAATCTCCAGGATTTTACCTCTGTCTGAGATCTTTTTTATCTCCTCTTTGCAGAAATCCTCCAGTTTCTCTCCCAGCTGACGGACAGATTCTCTCAGGCCATCAAAAGAGAAGAGAGAACTGAAGGGGATTTTGGGTACCTCTGTAGATTCGGGAGGTGCTGAGAGAGACTGGAAACTCTACAGAAAACAGAATCTTATCACCCCCACAATGAATGATGGCATTTATACTAAACAAATATCCATGTAATAAAGCATTCATGACCATACACAGGATTTTAATTACTACGAGGTCCAACATCTGAGCTTGCTAAAGGGATTCGGAAAACATGTACCCATTGCAAGATATTTGTACTCAGTTTTTGAGTAATGTCTCCTCAGCTGATTCTAGTGACCTGCTCTTCCTACTTTCTTGAAACATTTCTCATTAAGTCTCCTGTCATTGCAGGATCTCTCTCAAGTCCACTAGATCTCTGTTACCTGCCGGAACTGGATGTGATCCTGTGTGTGTGAAAGCTGCTCCAGCTCGGCGTCTCTCATCCTCAGATCATTGATCTCCTGCTCCAGTTGCTCCAGTCCTACTTCGGCTCGACTCAGCGCAGCCTGTTCCTGATCTCTGATCCGCTGTGTCACCTCAGAGCGGCTTCTCTCAATGGAGCGGATGAGCTCAGTGAAGATCCTCTCACTTTCCTCCACGGCTGTCTGTGCAGAGCGCTGTCGAGCACACACACCACAGTCACACAGTGGGCTTCAGTGGGAATGGAAGAGGGCAGTCCTAACCAAGACATCTCAGACTCACCTTATAGGACTCCACAGCCTCCTTCAACTGCTGAAGGTCTTTCTCTCGCTGCTGGATTCTCTGCTTGAATGACCTCTGCGTTACCTTCAAGTTGATCTGGATGACAACACAAATGGTCCATGTAGGTTGCGTTCATCCATTGTTTTAATCAACATTGATAGAGGTAAAATGAAATAATGGTGAATTTTAATACTTTTTCCTGACAGAATTTTTTTTTTCCGGTTTTGGTTTCAGGGATAGAAAATGGACAAACAATTTTAACATTAAATTTCCACATGTCAGGCATTAAACCTTCCCTGATCGCTGCTTTAGTTTTAGGATATGTAGGATTCTTGAGAAGTTAACTGCAGGCTATATAACCTCATATAACAATCAGACTAAAGAATGCCTTGACAAACTGTACTGGGCAGTGCCATGCAGACAGGGCTTTCTTCTGGGCAGGAATAGGTTTGGCAACCTATGTGTCCAGAAAAGGATGTTCATTTCGTTAGTATTAATGTCCCCTCTATCTGCACCCACTTTACCCCTTAGCATACTTGGCACATCACCCGTTTTATTTAGCTGTCCCAACTATTAAAATCTTTATGGCAAAGCTATGCAACCCACTGGACAGCAAGGAGGAGATCAATTTACATTGCAGTGAAACCATCACAGAAGGATCGAGTGTGAGGATCGAGTGTTCTTTACAAAACAGTCAGAGGTGTTTACACAATAAAACATGACGGGGGAGACCTTTCTTGCAGGTTCCCACAGAAGACAAGTGTAAGGGCAATAGTCAGATGAGACTGAGACTGAGGCTGAGTATATATACAGTCTACACTGGGGTTATGATGAGGAACAGGTGATGTTCTAGCAAATGAGATGAGATGATTGTGAGCGTGCAGAAGACATGACAGAAGCTATCCCTTTGGGGTATATCATACATGCTATTTGTTCCTTAAAGTGGTACAACAGTCCAACTTTAATATTTTTATATTTATTGCCATCTCCACTCCAGTCCGATTTTTCACTGCATTTCTGGCCTTGTTGTATTTATTAAACACCACAGTCTCATCATCCATTTTCTAATCCTGAAAATAGTCAAGCCAAATTCTTGTTGCTTTACATTTTATTTTGTGAAAACTTTCACGTTTTGAAATGTTTGAGGTTTTTTTGCTTCATCTGAATGGGATGACACTTGATGGGGTGACTTTTGTTGTATTAGGTATGTGAACACACAAAAAAAGCATGGACATAATTCGGATATGTTAAAGGGTCATAAAAAATAGTCACACTTGGCTCCTTCACGGGCAGAAATTACTGACAGGGAATGAATGAGAAATATGATGCGAGAGGTCAGAGGAGAATGGGCCGACTGATTCAAGCTGATAGAAGAGCAACTTTGACTGAAATAACCACTCGTTACAACCGAGGTATGCAGCAAAGCATTTGTGAAGAAGACACAACACACACAACCTTGAGGCGGATTGACTACAACAGCAGAAGACCCCACAGAAGGGTACCACTCATCTCCACTACAAATAGGAAAAAGAGGCGACAATCTGCAAGAGCTCACCAACATTGGACAGTTGAAGACTGGAAAAATGTTGCCTGGTCTGACGAGTCTCGATTTCTGTTGAGACATTCAGATGGTAGAGTCAGAATTTGGCGTAAACAGAATGAGATCATGGATCCATCATGCCTTGTTACCACTGTGCAGGCTGCTGGTGGTGGTGTAATGGTGTGGGGGATGTTTTCTTGGCACACTTTAGGCCCCTTAGTGCCAATTGGGCATCGTTTAAATGCCACAGCCAACCTGAGCATTGTTTCTGACCATGTCCATCCCTTTATGGCCACCATGTCCCCATCCTCTGATGGCTTCTTCCAGCAGGATAATGCACCATGTCACAAAGCTGGAATCATTTCAAATTGGTTTCTTGAACATGACAATGAGTTGACTGTACTAAAATGGCCCCCACAGTCACCAGATCTCAACCCAATAGAGTATCTTTGGGATGTGGTGGAATGGGAGCTTCGTGCCCTGGATGTGCATCCCACTAATCTCCATCAACTGCAAGATGCTATCCTATCAATATGGGCCAACATTGCTAAAGAAAGCTTTCAGCACCTTGTTGAATCAATGCCACGTAGAATTAAGGCAGTTCTGAAGACGAAAGGGGGTCAAACACAGTATTAGTATGGTGTTCCTAATAATCCTTTAGGTGAGTGTATGTCAGGGGTCGCACACCTCTGGAGCAACTAGGGGTTAAGTGTCTTGCTCAGGGACACATTGGTGTCTCACAGTGGATTCAAACTCTGGTCTTTCACACGAAAGGCATGTGTCTTATCCACTGCGCCATCACCACCATGTTTATTAAACCACCAAACAGTTTATTAAAATGAGGGCTGAAAATTATCATTTATCTACCTAAAAATATTTCCACTTGTGTTTTATAACAAATGAACAAATGGATTCAGTATCATCTTATATTTCTTTTTGTATGGATAGTATTATACCTACTAAGTGGGTCACGATTTTCCCTGATAACAAACCCTGGGTGACTAAGGACCTAAAGGAAATTTTGAATAAAAAAAAGAGGGTCTTCTTTACCGACTCGGAGCTAGAAAAGAGAGATGTTAACAGAGAGCTTAAATGTGCCATAAAAAATGCAAAACTGAGATACAAAAATAAGGTAGAGTGAACATTTGCCCAGGGCAACCTCCGTACTGCATGGCAGGGCCTTAGAAGTATGGCAGCAGTTAACTGCAGTCCTTGCAGTCGCAAGCTCATCCAGGTTGCAGGCTGTAGCCCAACCTCGTTATCTAATGACCTGAACATATTTTTCAACAGATTTGAGAAAGATAACAGCTCTGATCTCAAAAGGATAGTTTCTTTGCTCGATATTCTTTGCTGGTATCACTATCGACACTGGAGAAGTGGTCGGCGCCTTCAAGAGGCCAAAAGTAAATAAGGCGCCAGGTCCAGATAATATCTGTGGGCAGACCCTTAGGCACTGTGCTGAGCAAATGGGAGGTGTATTCCTATACCTGTTTCAGTATTCCATCAATCACAGCAGAGTCCCCCAGCTGTTGAAGCACTCAACGGTGATTCCAATACCCAAGAAGGGTACTACCAAAACCTTGAACGACCTCAGGCCTGTGGCCCTGACCTCGCTGGTGATGAAGACCATGGAGAGAAACATAAAGGATTACATCACCAAGGTATCTGATCCAATGATGGATCCACTTCAATTTGCATATCGGGTGGGCAGGGGGGTCGACGATGCGAAAATCCTCATCCTAGACAAAGTCAAAGTCATGTCACCCCCCCGGTTCAGTTGGACTCCTCACTCCCTCCAGTCACCCGTCAGCCCTCACTCCCTCTGCCCTCACCGTGTCCCTCTGTGCCCCTGTCGTCACCTTGGTCACCTGAGCCTGTGTTCTCACCATGGTCCCTTGGTCCCTCGTCAGCACCATGTCTCGTTGGTCCCTCAGCTTCACCCTGATCTCCTCTCCCATCTGCTCCGCTCCTGTCCGTCGGCCCCCTGGTGTCGCCAGCCCCGTTTCCTTCGGCTCCACCAGGGGTCCTCCCTCCATCTGCTCCGCCCTGGTCTCGCCCTCAGCCTGCTCCGCCCTGGCCACGCCCTCAGCCTGCTCCACCCTGGTCTCGCCCTCAGTCTGCTCCGCCCTGGTCTCGTCCTCTGCCTGCTCTGCCCTTGTCTCGCCCTCAGCCCGCTCTGCCCTGGCCACGCCCTCAACCTGCTCCACCTTGGCCATGCCCCGCTCAGCCCTTAGATCGTCCCCCTGTCTGTCACAGTCTCGTCTGCACCATTCTGTCTGCGTCTCGACTTCCCAACATCCTCTCGTCACCCACACCTGAACTCACTCCCTCATCAGTCTCCTGTTCATCGTCTCGTTCATCAGTATCACCTGTTTTCACCCCATTAGGTTTGATTCCTCTGTGTATTTAGTTCGTCCTCATTCAGTCTGTCCTGTCGATCGTGTATGTTACAATGTGTTGCGAGTGATTTCCTGCCTGTTCCTGTTCCTGTTGTTTAAGTAAAGTAATTGAACTGGAGCTTTGCCTCTTTGGTCTCCTTCATCTGCCTGCACTCCTGCACTAACCCGTGACAGATACATTAAAAAGTCAGTTTGATATTATCGATTTTTCTGAAACTTGGTTAAATGCTGTCAATGGTTATGATTTGTGAACTGATGGATATAGTTTGTATCATATTGACAGACTGGGAAAATGAGGAGGAGGTGTGGCATTGTGCGTCAGAGAAATATACACATGTACGATTGTTGATTGAAGGTATTCTAGAAAGTGTGGCGGTTGACATTGAGTTATAAGTTGTGTGTATAGAGCACAAGGCCAAAGGGAGAAGTATTTAAAGATAAACTCACTGAACTTATCGAATGTAGTGTTAAATAAGACCATGTGGTGATGTTAATGTTGATTTAATGAATCCACAAAGCCAAACGAAATGTCCAGTAGAGGTATGTTTCCAGTAATAACACAACCCTGATACGAAAAACTTCAACATTGATTTATAATATTTTTATTGATAATATTGACAGATTACTTTCCATAGTGGTCTGCTATTATGTGATAGCAGTGATCACTTACCAGTTTTCATTCTCTGTGGCCTAAAACTGTCACATGCCTATCCTGTCTTGTGTTGCACATGGGTGTTTTGTTATTTTGGGCCATGTGCTCTTGTCATTGTCTGTTCCCTCCCCCTCGTTACCTGATTATTGTTTGAGTTCTTCCTGTCCCCTCTTGATTTATTCCCTTTCTTATGTCTCCTCTTGTTTGCAGTCTTCTTGGTCGGGTCGTTGTCTAATGTCTCCCGTTCCCTGTGTTCCTCAGTCCAGGTCCAGGTCCAGGTGTTTTAGTTTTATTCATTGTGCTATTCCCCCTCGTGGGTTTTGCTTTGTGTTTGTTTTATTATTAAAGTTTCATGTTCTCCTGCACTTGAGTCCTCACACCCTTTTTTCCTTGCACATTCCATGACATAACGATACAACCAAAATGAGGACTCAGCAGAGAAGAGGGGCCAAGCCAGAGACTGTTCACGTTCCGTCTGCCCAGTCAGAGACAGATCAGGAGATGCCCATTTGTGTGGCCACCAAGGCACTTATGGACTATTTGGAACTGGCGTGGATCCATGCCGGTATGGAGTCCTCACACCATTTTTTCCTTGCACATTCCGTGACATAACCAAAATGAGGACTCAGCGGAAAAGAGGGGCCAAGCCAGAGACTGTTCACATTCTGTCTGCCCAGTCTGAGACAAATCAGGAGATGCCCATTTGTGTGGCCGCCAAGGCACTCATGGACTATTTGGAACATCTGGTGTGGATCCTGGACATGCCGGTATCTGCTATTCCCAAGCCGGAGCCAGTGTCTGCCGTTCCTGAGACGGTGCCTGTTCCAAAGCCAGTGCCTGAACCAGTTCCAGAGCTGGAGCCAGTGTCTGTTCCCTAGCCGGAGCTAGTGTCGGTTCCTGAGCCGGAGCCAGTGGTTGTTCCTTAGCTGGAGCCAGTGCCTGTCCTAGAGCCAGAGCCAGTGCCTGTTCCAGATCCGGAGTCAGTGTCTGTTCCTGAATCAGAGCTAGCGTCTGTTTCTGTGTTTGTGTCTGTCCTAGAGGTCGTTGCTGTTCTGATGGCTGTTCCTGAGCCGGAGCCTGTTCCGGAGCTTGAGCCAGTGCCTGTTCCAGAACCATTGTCTGTTCCAGAGCCGGAGCCAGTGTCTGTTCCTGAATCTGAGTTAGCGTCTGTTTTTGTGTTTGTGTCTGTCCTAGTGGCCGTTGCTTTTCTGGTGGCTGTTCCTGAGCCATAGTCTGTTCCAGAGCCGGAGCCAGTGCCTGTTACTGAATCGGAGTTAGAGTCTGTTTTTGTCTGTTCTAGTGGCCATTGCTTTTCTGGTGGCTGTTCCTGAGCCAGAGTCTGCTCCAGAGCCGGAGCTGGAGCCAGTGCCTGTTCTGGAGTCACCGCCCTTGCTGCCCAAGGGGTCTTCATCGCCCTGGCCGCCCGAGGGGTCTTCACCGCCCTGGCCACCCGAGGGGTCTTCAACGCCCTGGCCGGGATGGCTGCTTCACCCTGGCCTGCCAAGAATAAGCGGTCTGTCACTCCCGTCCCGCCCTGGTGTTGAAAACTGGTAAGAAAATTAGTGATGTTGATAGTTAAAACACTAGGATTCGGACAGAGAAGGATATAGGCTTATTTAGGAAGGATCTGATTAACCAAGATAGGAGTAAAGTTTTTGTAGAGTCCTGGTTCACCCGGAAGGATAATAAGGCCGATTTTAGCCCCGATTCACCCCTTTCGACAATCTTAAGGATGCTCCGATTATTACAAAATAATCAGATCAGATATTCCTGCCGTGTGTGGTGTGTTAAGACTGCTCTCATCTGCTCAGAAGGACGTCGAGGTCGCTCCAATCTCAAAACGGGATATCCAACATGGTGGAGTTTTTTTTTGGCCCGATTTTTTGAAATGCATCATAGATAACACTTTACTAGAAGGGGTGTCCATAAGACTGACATGACTCCTTCATAATCATGACATGACACATTTCATGAATATGAAGGAGGTTTTATGCATGTTTATGACAACTGTCATTTCACGAGTTCACATCTACATATAATTATTATGATAAAGAATATGTGTACTTGGCGTGCTGTCCGGGTGGAGGGCTACGAGCTCGGAATTTCTGCCCGATCCCAGAGTACTCCCCCCGGTAAGGGTAGATGGAACTAGAGATGGAACTAAAAGAGAGGAGATGGGATGCTGATAAACTGTCAAGGAACAAGTGTGGGTTCTGCTGTTATTTATCTTGTCCTAGATTGATTACTGATTGCTGAACTTGTTAATAAAACATCATTAAGTGGCATTCATTCAATTATGACATTTTAATGAAAATATTTTTTATGACATCTTGACATAAACCAATACATCATAACCCGTCAGTTTCTTGGTAATGACAACTGACATAACTAAGACAACACAACCTGTCATAAATATGTCATAAACATGACATAGGCGATTAATTATCAATCTTAAGAGAGCACTTTGTGCAATTTTTCTTGACCTCAACTACAGTGGGCCAAATTGAATTTGTCACTAAAATGTTGTAATATATTTTCTTATCATTTAGATCTTTATCTAATTGTTCAGAAGCGAACACTCTATTTCTGTTGACAACACGTAGAATGTGAAAATTAACCACACTTAACATAGACATGAACTGACAAAATAAACAGAATATAAAAACGGGATATAAGTACATAAGGGAAAAACAAGGGAACTAAACGAGACACAGGTACCAATAATCAGTAAGGAAACTAAGAGGGAGTAATAAAGGTCAAACTCGAGGTACATACACATTTTAACAAAAACACACTGAAATTTAACATAATCTTCACAATGTTTAATGTTTAATGAAAAATTTCATTTGTATTTATTTGTTTACATGTTTTTTCTTGAAAGTGTTTGTACAATTTCTTGCATCTTGCAGGTTTAAATAGATACTTTTCTTATAATGAGAAGGATGTTTGTCAAAATGAAGATGTATTAAGGCGGGCATACACTGTGCGATGTCTGTGCGATTTCAGCAAGGTACCTACTCACACTGAACGAGTAAATCGCATGCGATGCAAAGCCAAAGTTCAGGATTTATGTGCTCACACTGTACGGTCCGATCGTCGAGCTGCGACTTCACTGCTCACACTATACGTGTAATATCTGCCATAACCCCCTGGATTGCGCCTATTTACGTGTATGTATCCAGAGATATTGTCAAAACAAGCATCTGCTAGTATCAAGATGATTTAGCATTTTCAATTTATACATTTAATTATTATTGGTATTATTGTATTATCATTATTAGGGGAGGCCTATAGGCTAATTTTATTATTAAATTGATCCGCTATTATAATTAATTTGCTACGCAATATTTTCACAGCACATAACCAACGTGCAGTGAGGATAATAAAATATTACATAATCTTACTCCTCATTAAAAATTGTCTAAAACATTTAGGTCGATAACAATGAATTATAAGCATATAAAATAACTATTAACAGTCTATAGCCTAATATGTCCGAACATTGACATAATTAATCATCAATGAAAATTAAAAACAGGTTTATTTCAAAAACATTGTTTAACAAATTAATAAAAGAGGTGTTACATCGCAGGTGGCTTGGAAGACGGTGGGTAATATTATCCATTTTGCAACACGAACTGGAGGTAAGCAACAGTAATTTGTAGCTAGTTTGAACTACAGAACTTAAAGATCTCCCTCTTTTCGTTTTTATTTTAATTTTATTTTTGCTGCAGATGAAATGGTTAAACTTCTGTTTTCGCGCAGGTGCAGTGAGGGAAAAAACACTGAGTTTAGGGCAATCGGTTCGTAGCTTTGCTTCAACTGTGCGATATAGTCACGAGGAGCGACCAAAATTTCTGACATGCCAGAAATTCATCCGACCATCTGATTGTCGATCGTGAGAGGTTAATCGCCTCTCGTTTCTCCCTGTACACTGCACGAACACTGCACGACAAACGACGCACGACAAAGCTGAAAATCGGTCCGACAGGAAAAAGAGTCGTACGAGTCAGAATTCGGCTCAAAATCGGACGAAAATCGCACAGTGTATGCCCGCCTTTACACACATTAATTCTGACAGTAGTTCAGCTGTAGTAATAATGTAATTAAGAGACTCAATAATCTAATTCTGATTATTAACACAGTTTCACTGATCCTTTATAAACAGTAAACCCAGGATAGAGTGTGTGTGTGAATGTGGTCTGGACTGTGTGTATGAGGATCATCGTGTCTCTGTCGACGCTGTAGAAGGACAGAGTTCCTGCACTGTGATCCACACACACTCCTATTCTCCTGAGATCCACACACACTCCTATTCTCCTGCTGATGGACTTTACAGGGAGTTCAGTCTCTATGTTATTGTGTCTAAATGAGTAACTGAAGAGAGAGCAATACAAACTCCAGGACTGATCATTACATCCAAACACACACTCAACACCACGTCCCTTCCTGCTGATGCTCTTATATGACACTGATATATACACACGTCCACTCCACTCAATCTCCCAGTAAGAGCGTCCACACACACTCTCTCTACACAACACCTGCTCATAATGATCAAATCTGTCTGGATGATCAGGATACGGCTGGAGTGTGTCAGTGTGTGTAATCACTCTGTTCCTCTCAGACAGACGGAGGCGTTTATTCACTGTGTTCGGATCCAGAGTGAACTGTTGGGAATCTGATGGAGATAAAACACATCACATTCAGGAATTATGAATCTCTTCATGTTCATTATATCAGCATATCTCAGTAGTGTTTAATCATCATGTACAACTCTAAAACTCTTCTGTCATGTTTTCTCGCAGCTTCTACAGGAAGAACATGAACTCAGAGTTTCTCAGCTTGTTTTCTGACTTACATTGAAGGAAGTCGCTCCTGGTCTTGGGAACAATGTTGGTGAAAGTGACTGTGGAAATCAACAGACATGAAGAGTGTGATTATCATCTTAAGAAAAAATGATCCCTGAATCAATGCCTAACACATTATTAATATGATATTAGATGGAGAAAATGAGAGGACCTACCCAGATAGCAAACTGACATTGAATCAACGTGGAAATATGACATCGAAACAACGTTGATCTGACATTGTTTTGCTCATCGAATTAACGTTGAACCAACGTCAGACGCGTCATTCTTTCAAAACTAACGGAAAATCAACTTGAAATCAACGCGTTGTTTCAACGTTATGAAAGCAAACCAATTTTCGATTTTCATTTAGCTTTGAAGAATGCCGCGTCTGACGTTGGTTCAACGTTAATTCGATGAGCAAAATCAACGTTGTTTCGATGTCATGAGAGACGTCGTTTCCACGTTGATTCAATGTCAGTTTGCTGTCTGGGTAATATTTTTATACCTTTTTTGCAAAAATCCTCACTTGAAAAGACAAGACTTAGTTAAAATGATTACTTGCATAACCAGTTTCAGACTGTATAAAAATAACCATAAAAGATAGCGATATTAATATTTACCCTCCACTGAACGGGTGGCAGGATCCTCCACACTGGCCTCGGCCGGAGCTGGGCGACAGAGAAAGAGATCGGAGCGACGTTAAACCACACAAACAGAAAAAATACAAATATATTTCAATTACATTTAGAAAACGTATTCTTTAGTTTTGCTTTTATTTTCTAAATAGCACATTTCATTTTAATCTTAACCCAGTGGTTCTAAAACAAATTGTCCTCCAAAATATGCTTTTCTTACACAGTACTGTAGTCTTGTTTCCAGTACAAATATCTAAAAATAATTAAACAAAGAAGCATTTACTAGATAGGTAAAATTACATTAGATATTACATCTTGTTTTCAGTCAATCAAAAAGGTTGTTTTTTTTTTGCTGAATTATCTGCCAATGGGGTAAGGGAAAAAACTTAATTTAAATGGAAAACAAGAAAAATTATCTTAATTAAAATGGAAAACATGATAATTTTTTTAGTGTAGTCACACCCTCCCTTTTAAGCAAAATCTGCCGTTTTCAAATGTAAATATTTTTTATCAACAGTATATAATCAGTGGATGCAGTGAGCTCTCACAAGCTCTGCATCTTGAAAAGGTGCTTTTCATTGGCTAAGAAACTTCTATATCTGGCTTGTTCAGACGGTGATAAGCCAATGGCCTGGAGAAGAAAGATTGAGTGGAATTGGCTTTCGGTGCCGCTTTACAAAGGAAGAGACCCAACAGCTATGCACCTGAATGCCACCCCTTTATGCTGAACCACTGCTTTACCCAGTTACCTTGCTTGTGTCTGTTCTCTAACTGGTCAGCCACATGGTTCTGGTTCATCTTCCTCAGGATCTCCACCATGATCTTCACAGCTTCTTCCGGTCCGAAACGCTTCATCATCAGATCCACTGTGTCAGGGGGGTCTGCCTTATCCAGAGTAGCTTTCGAAAAGCCCTTGCGATTTTTTAAGCGCCACTTAAACCTCTTGAATTCATCTGCGTCTAGATCATCCAGAGCATCCAGAAGCTGTTCTGAAACAGACGCCATCGTCCTTCACTGATTCACTTCTGCAGGACAAGAAGATGTTTTGTGTTGAACAGCTATAATTACTTTTAAATGATTAAATTATTGCCTTTTAGTTTTATTAAAGAACACAAAATGATTGTGATTCACAATGTCTTAACACTTTCCCCACCAGCATTAAAAAAAAAAAACCTCTTTGTATTTGTATTCGAATTCAAAATAGGCATAATTTTTTTTTCTGCGTTACACTTATGGTTACACTTCAAATTTACGTTATAGTGTAAGGATTCTTTAATTATATCCATTATAATAATTATGGATATGCAATATTGGTTGATGTTTTTCTTTAAATCCAGCAATGAACATGTAACAAGGAATGTCATTGAAATGAAAATAACATAACAGTCATTACCTCATCCATGATTAAACCAACAACTAATAAAATGCAATTGTGAACATTATGAACCCCACCACCACCTGTCCTTGTTGGAGGCCGCTGAACAGACAGAATAAGTAAGGGATAATGTATAGCGAGGCGGATGATTATGAGCCGAGTTGAAGCGGAGGGGTCTTGAATCAGCCTGAATCTGAAGGGTTTGTATTCGCTATAGCAACCGCCTATACATCATCCCGATTATTACATGGCTACCTACCAAATAAATCTATAATTTGACTCAAAATATTGATTTAAAAATTAGTTTATTGATTTAAAAACGATTGTATTGCTTCCGCTAAAAAAATAGTCCATTCCGTCTCTACGTATAGAATCCATGTGTCTGGTCTGGTCCTGAGATGGTATCTCCACACTGGCCGCCCGAGGGGTCTTCACCGTCCTGGCCGCCCGAGGGGTCTTCACCGCCCTGGCCGCCCGAGGGGTCTTCACCGCCCTGGCCGCCCGAGGGGTCTTCACCGCCCTGGCCGCCCGAGGGGTCTTCTCCGCCCTGGCCACCCGAGGGGTCTTCTCCGCCCTGGCCACCCGAGGGGTCTTCACCGCCCTGGCCGTCTGAGGGGTCTTCACCGCCCTGGCCGCCCGAGGGGTCTTCTCCGCCCTGGCCACCCGAGGGGTCTTCTCCGCCCTGGCCACCCGAGGGGTCTTCACCGCCCTGGCCGTCTGAGGGGTCTTCACCGCCCTGGCCGCCCGAGGGGTCTTCACCGGCCTGGCCCCCGAGGGGTCTTCTCCGCCCTGGCCGCCCGAGGGGTCTTCACTGCTCTGGCCGCCCGAGGGTCTTCACCGCCCTGGCCGTCTGAGGGGTCTTCACCGCCCTGGCCGCCCGAGGGGTCTTCACCGGCCTGGCCGCCCGAGGGGTCTTCACCGCCCTGGCCGCCCGAGGGGTCTTCACCGTCCTGGCGCCCGAGGGGTCTTCACCGCCCTGGCCGCCCGAGGGGTCTTCACCGTCCTGGCCGCCCGAGGGGTCTTCACCGCCCTGGCCGCCCGAGAGGTCTTCACCGGCCTGGCCGCCCGAGGGGTCTTCACTGCTCTGGGCGCCTGAGGGGTCTTCACCTGGCCTGGCCGCCCGATGGGGTCTTCACCGCCCTGGCCGCCCGAGGGGTCTTCACCGCCCTAACCGTCCCAGGGGTCGTCACTGCCCTGGCCCACAGATCACCCGATGAACTGTATGCTTTGCCCTGGCCTCCCAGGAATAAGCGCTCTGTCCCTCCTGTCCCACCCTGCTGTTTCCCTCCCCTCCCGTCGCGCCCTGGTCTTATGGAGCGTCTAGTAGCCGCTCCGTAGGGAGGGGGTAATGTCACATGCCTGTCCTGTCTTGTGTTGCACATGGGTGTTTTGTTATTTTGGGCCATGTGCTCTCGTCATTGTCTGATCCCTCCCCCTCGTTACCTGATTAGTGTTTGAGTTCTTCCTGTCCCCTCTTGATTTGTTCCCTTCTTAAGTCTCCTCTTGTTTGCAGTCTATGTCGGATCATTGTCCAATGTCTCCCGTTCCCCGTGATCCTCTACATGTTCAGGTTTAGTTGTTGTTTTATTTTTATTCATTGTGTTTTTTTCCCCTTGTGGGTTTTTGCTTTGTGTTTGTTTTGTTTTTGTAAGAAATTATCATTTTTCACCTGCACTTGAGTCCTCACGCCTTTTTTCCTCACCCGTTCCGTGACAAGATTACAAGACAAAAATTCAGATAGGCTTCTCAGAGGTTACTCAACATGTTTTATTATATTTATATCTTTATATCTTTATCCTGTTATTCTTCCTCATTCTCCTTGTTTGCCCATCTATATTTTGCTGTAGAGCTGATCTTTCCCAGCAGTTTTTTCAAAACAGTTTTTTCAAACAGGCAGGATGGCCAGGACAGGATGTGAAAACAGGACATGTGGCATGTTCAGATATTCAATACAACAAAATATTCTGTTCTGAGGACCATGAAAAATTTGGCTGGCTGACACAACTTAAAAAAAAAAATCAAAAACACTTGCCATTACACAAATCATTAGCACAATCACATAGATTTATATGATGATCTCAGAGTTCAACACTCACCAAGATTTGATAAATGTTGATCTCTCGTTCCTGCAGTCAGCCAAAATAATTCTCCTGCACATCAGACTGATACATCTATGCTTCTTTTCAACTTCTTAACTCAGTTTTCCTCAGTTTATACAGCTTGAATCCTACACTGCTCTGAATCACCATCTTGCATCCTGTTCTGCTGCATTCACAACCAACCTGAGCAAATAGCCTAAAACTTTTCCTTCATAAATAATTTTCTGTTCACATATGATCAACAGTTGCTAGGCAGATTTGTTAGATTTAAGTTTTACTCTGAGTTCAGATTGGACCATGTAAATAAACCACTAAATGGACAAAAATGTTTGAAGAACCATATTATTACAAGGATACGCTATGGTTATATTTAAATAGGTAAGAATTGAACCACATGAAGAGCCATTTACTTACTGTGAAAAACTAGGAGATTGGTAGGCTTCTTATACCACCTCTGAACTGGAAAAAGCTCTGAAACTTATCTCTGTGAAAACAAGGGAAACCAGTTTTTCTACAGAGAAACTGGGGAGAGAACTCTGTCAAGACATGCATCTGATCATATCTGATCATGTATACAGTAGATGGAATGAGATAGTTTGAGAGATTGCAGGTACAGTAAGAGACAGGTTTACTTATTTAGCAGACACTTTTATTTGAAGTGACTTACATATAAGAAACATTGCCATGAATATAATAGTGTTTATAGATGTGAATTAGTAAAGTGTTAGTAGAAGAAGTGTGTCTTCAGCTGTTTCTTAAATGCTTTGAGGGTCTCAGCAGATGGGCTGGATAATGACCGCTCATTCCAACCATTAGGACCAGTGTGTAGAAGAGGCACATTGACTCGATACCACAAGAGGTTAGTGTAATCTTGGTTAAATGCCGACTGCAATGAAAACAATAGGCAGCAACACAACATGCTCACTCCACCCAAACGACACATTCCACATACTGGCGCCACCTCATTTTTCCTTAAGAACATAAACCCTTTTCTCCAGTGACTGCTGAACTGTGAATAAGCACTAATATGTTGATTAGCATATATGATAAGCAAGATATGTTGGATATCTGATTTTCATTTTATAGTTCATTGGGAATTGTAATGCAGCCTGAATCCCAGGCTGGAGGAGAACTGAGAGACAGCCTGGTTTCTGTCAAGTCAAGTCACATTTATTTATATAGCGCTTTTCTGTCCCTGATGGAGTTTTGGTTCCTTGCCACTGTCGCCTTACACCGTGTCATAACTACACGCGACACGACGCGACGCCGCGACACGCAATAAAAGGTATCTTTTCCATGTTAATCAGAGTTTTTGTCCTAACCAGACGCGACAGCGACACGCGAAGTTTCTAATTTAGAAACGGTTCCTATTTCTGCGACGTCGCGGCTGACAGAATGAAAAAATTACACTGGTTATGAGTATACATTATTTATTTTTAGTTAAAAATAGGTCACTGTGCCACAAGCGATTACGGATAATTTACCTCAGATTTTGAAAGCATGTAATATAGCGTTCAAAATGAATTCTATGCAAACATACAACTGTACTTCAAAACAAAATTAGTCAATGAGTATATTTGTTATTTCTTGATTTGATTATGTCCTAAGTTACCCATATTCAATGCGAGTGCGGGCCAACAATGCGCTTTCACAGAGAGACTCTGCTCACACCATAGGCTCACACGCTGTTCTGAATGTGTGGCATCACATTCGCGTCGCGTCTAGTGTGGACAGACACACTTGCTGTCGCTGGAATTTTATTGCGTTGCGTGTAGTTAGGACACGGTGTTAAGGCCTGTTCACACGGGGACGAATTTCGCGCGTGTTATTGGTCGACGTTTAACGCCTCTTGACTAAACAATGGGCGCCAATGTGAGTGTTCACACCGACGCGAAAAACGCCACGCGTAAAAGCGTCATTTTTAAAAAAACGCCTCGGGTTCGTTTTCTTGGTTTGACGCGCCGCGTCAAAACCTATCCGACCAACGAGATCGGCGGGTTTGCTCACGTGTCTGGTACTTCAGAAGTTACAGTAAAACACATCTTGGGGGCGCTCAAACACAAAACGGTCTGGCCGTATGGAAGCTTGTTTCCGCCATTGAATAAAAAATATAATAAAGAATTGTGACTTTTTATCTTACAATTCTGACTTTTTTTCTCACAATTCTGACTTTTTTTCTCACAATTGCGAGTTTATATCTCACAATTCTGACTTTATTTCTCAGAATTGCGTGATATAAAGTCGCAATTGCGAGTTATAAAGTCAGAATTGTGTGTTATAAAGTCAGAATTGCGAGATATAAAGTCAGAATTGCGTGATATAAAGTCAGAATTGCGTGATATAAAGTCAGAATTGTGAGATATAAAGTCGCAATTCTGAGAAAAAAAGACAGAAGTGTGACTTTTTTTCTCACAATTGCAAGTTTACATCTCGCAATTCTGACTTTATAACACATAATTGCGAGTTTATATGTCGAAATTCTGACATCTTTTCTCAGAATTGTGAGATATAAACTCGCAATTGCGACTTATTAGGCCAATTCTTTTTCCCCCATCAGAAGAGTTTAAATCTCACAATTCTGACTTTATATCATGCAATTCTGACTTTAAAACTCGCAATTGCGACTTTATATCACGCAATTCTGACTTTATAACTCGCATTGTGACTTTATATCACGCAATTCTGACTTTATGTCTCGCAATTCTGACTTTATAACTCGCAATTGCGACTTTATATCACGCAATTCTGACTTTTTATCTCGCAATTGCGACTTTATATCACGCAATTCTGACTTTTTATCTCGGCAATTCTGACTTTATAACTCGCAATTGCGACTTATATATCTGCAATTCTGACTTTTTATCTCGCAATTGCGACTTTATATCACGCAATTCTGACTTTATATCTCGCAATTCTGACTTTATATCTCGCAATTCTGACTTTATAACTCGCAATTGCGACTTTATATCACGCAATTCGGACTTTTTATCTCGCAATTGTGAGAAAAAAAGTCAGAATTGTGAGATAAAAAGTCGCAATTATTTATTTTATTTTTTTATTCAGTGGCGGAAACAAGCTTCCATATGGCCGAGCACACATACGGCGAAGAAGAGATAAGATACCTATGGGCAAGATGATGAGCTGCTGGTCTCGGAGCATAAAGAGCTGTATGATAATATTGATATTAGTATTTCTGTAATAATAGTATAGGGTGACCAACAGTCCTGTTTTCCCAGGACATGTGTAAAACGGTCACTTTGTGCTTTATAGCAGTGTTTCCCAACCCTGTTCCTGGCGGCACACCAACACTGCGTGTATTCTTTGTCTCCCTTATCAAACACACCTGATTCAACCCATCAGCTCATAATCAGGTGGGTTAATGAGCTGATGGGTTGAATCGGGTGTGTTTGATTAGGGAGACAAAGAAAACACGCAGTGTTGGTGTGCCGCCAGGAACATGGGTTGGGAAACACTGCTTTATAGAAATCTGAGTTGAGATGAGAACTGCGCATATAGTGTGCGTAGTGTCCGTTAGATTTTGACAAGTGAGGAGAGGAGAGAACCGCTCTGCG